GAGACTGCTATAGGTAGCGAATTCTGCCCCGGATATCAGTATCCTGCGCAGCCTTCATATGCCTTCGAGCGTAAAGACATGCGCCCCAAGTAATTGGACCCCAGGTCGAAGAAGGCTGCAAAACACAATTTAAACACCTCTGCATATTTTCACCCTGGATCCTGTGGCGGATATTTCATCACTGATTCTGCACTTTTCGATTGTATTACCTTTATAGTCCGTCTCGCCCACCCGAATCTTCGGCCTCGATCGGAATGATAGACCCTGCAATATAGCCGAGAGCTGGAGTCATCGGAGGAGTTAAGTACATGCTAGCTCTCTGAGTGCATTTTCTTGTGATTTCGCTTAATATTTTCAATGCCATCGACGTATTTATCCGACATCAATGATGCTAGCTATTCTCATACACAACGGTTTTATCAAATGATCTCGATGAGTAGGGAGCTTGTATGGGAAATGAACAGTCGAGCGTGCACCTATTCGTGATCTGTTAATTATTGGATGGATCTTTGATACGTCCGCACTTGAGGGGATCCAGCATCCAGAGGCATCGACTTTGAGAGGGTGCTGATCCTCTGATACATTAATGCGTTGAGGGTATGTGTACGTAAACTAAGATTCTCTCGATTATACTGACTGGGATATCTTCTTTACTCTCTCTGACGAAGAAGCACGTCCTACATAAAATAGCCTGTCGTATCCTGGTATCTAGCTGGACCCCTTGTGATGAGGCCTGGTCAGTACGAAGACACCTGAAGTATCCGTATCCGGATTCTTTCCTTGCACAGCATACTGTAGCAAGGTATCGCCTCTCGTTTTCCCGGATTTCTCTTCCTCTACTACTGCATCCAAGTTCCTTGTCTCCCGGACAATATCCCAGAAAGCCAAGTCGCTATCCTGTCTATCTTGCAATATAGAAGGCGATCTGATGGCGCAACATGCAGCCGTTAAAGCCAGGGAAGTACCGTAAATAATCCATAATCTCTGACTATGATAAACCCATATGAGCTGATCCTGTACCACTGATGCGTTAGCGACGGTTGCGTCGCTCATAGCTGTTATAAGTGCAATGGTAACATTTACTGGGATTTGCTCAAGTGCGCTGACGACATTATCGTTGTTTCGAGTGAACGTTCTGGCTGTTTCGTTAACCGAAAATACGTTACTGGACATCACATATGTGGAAAACACCCAAGAGTAACCCGCCGGCAATGAATTGGACGTGGGAGGGGGATAGACGAATCCATACAGAAGATTATAAAGTCAATTCACAATGGCTAGGTAACTGAGGGTGGAGGCATTGAGTTCTTGCAGCCTTTCGCAGTTAATAATTGCAAAGGGACTAAAGTTGGATGTAGCATTATACACAGGCCGGGGGGAGCCAAGGCCCTGGAGCAATGTGTTGAGTTCATCCAGACCGAGCTCTGTACATCGCAGAGCAGGTGCAGAGTATTTGATCGTGTAATTGCACTCGGTCCCACACCCTACAGGTGCATTCCAACCAACGAGTGTATCGGACTGTAATGCATTGTCGAGAATTTTTTGCCATGATGGAGAAGGGTGGTAATGACATGAAACTTCAACAAGATAGGATTTACTGAAGAATATTGTGGGCACGGAGATACTAGCACTGTTTTGGGGCGAAGTTGAGCCAACTTCGAGAGTTAGGAGCGAGGATGGATACGAGCGCAAATGCTTGCCAAAGTGTTGCCATGATGATAACAGGAATAACATTCCCGAGCCTTTTGGATGATTCCAGGTGGAGAATTTGGAAAAGGACTGAGTATACCAAATAGACGGTCCAATTGAAGGACAGTGAATGGTCAGCGGCGGATAAACCACCAGATCTTGTGAGGCCATGGATTCGGAGCTTCCGAGGTTTGAATATAAGATACTATTCACGGGTTGTGTCAGTGATACCGAGACTGACGCGGTACAGAGCCACTGGACCAATGTACTCAAAGCATTGGAGTTCTTTATCCAGGATTGGCCTGACACAGCGTGTCCTCGCAGGATAAACAGGTAGATATGGTGCAGTACAGCAGTAAATGCAGCACCGAGCAGTAGTCCAGCCATGACTGCTGGTGTAGCTCCTGGACATTTCCACTGAGCTGTGGGCTGCGACTCGACCAACGTGGCAGACGAGAATGAAGAATTTGTTTCCGAAGTTGTTGGGGTGGGGAATGATTGATCATCGAAAACGGTTTACGATGCCATACGGCGGCGTACACAAAGCTTAGCGATACTGTATTTCCAGGATTCAGTCACGAGTTCCCTCAATTCTCATTCCGTTGATAAACGGTTGATGATCTTGTCCTAATATAAAGTGCGTGAGAACAACCACAAAGCCCGAGAAAGAGATGCAACGAATAGTTTGAATCCTGTTCAAAAACAAAAGGACATCAGTTCGCCGGCCCGCTGGAAAGTCAACATGGAGCGTGGGAACAAAATACACTTCCTTTCCTTTTAATCACCACCACTGTTGTCGCTTCGGCTACAGTGAATGACTCCCCGTTTGCTCGTCGTTGTGCCAGTGTCATTGCTGGGTGATACAACGATGGCCGAAATACGACATTCATCTGTCATGGAATTCCCAAGACAGTGCAAACTGCGTCGACCACTATAACTCCACGGGATTAGCGTTCGGGACCTCAGCGAAAGAGACTGGCACAATTGGTAGCATATATACGATGAAACTCTAAAACTTTTTCTTGGGGACTCGTCAAGGTAGGCGTCGTGCATGCCAGTCGTCTTCGTATTCTCGCATGGCTTGGTGTTGCCTACAGAGGGTCGGGCGCAATGATCATCGGGAAGGTGTACGGTGCGTGCAATAGGATGGAGAATGATTAATGAGGTCCGTCGTCATCAATTTTCTTTTGAATGGCCACCAACTTTATCACAATCTCGACAGGATAGCTAGCGATCTCTGGTATGAAGCTGGCTACGCGCCTCTCAGCCAGCTGGATTTTGGTCATCAAGCAAATACCAATGTTATACTACTACTACCTGGGGACTACGGCATTCCCCCATGGATGACCTCGCCTGCAAACCGGCATATTCCAGTCAATTTAAAAGCTTGACGAGATATGGAGTGGCCAGGACGTTCCCTGAATCTTCTGGTAAGAATCTAATGTCTTCTGGGATGTTAATTTTTCAAACTTATAATGAGAGAAATAGGTCCCACTTTTTCCCCCTCAATTGCGAACTCTGTCTCTGCATTGACTCTGGTATCTGAATATCATGGGTGACTCCGCGTTAAACGTAGTATCGTTATCCTTTCTGGCACGTATTGTGGGTCTAGTCGAACAAGGACAGGCAGCATATCCTTGTATCTTCACTGGGGATTCAGGAGCTGGAATTGTATGGCTGCTATGAGTCCGCCACACCAGATTCCGTATGTGGACAGTCTTTAGTGAATCATGACATTGTCTAACATTTACTGTTAGAACACTCGCTCGTTTTTTTGCCGGACTTGGGCTCTTCTCCGCTGCTTTGATATAAATGACAATGTCTTCTTGGCGGAGAGCTGGAGATAACGGAGAACTGAACATCCGCTATTCAGGTGCGTTTGAGTGTGATATTCAGCTGATCGTTCTCACCCTTTCCTGCAGAAAGAACGTCTTTAGCATTCTCGATGCGCCGATAATCATATGAACGGCCTCGGGCACCCAGAAGCAGCACTAGGAAATGAACTCCGGTGTGCATTCGTATACAACCTGTCAACTCCAGTTGGGCGAGATGGATGCGTCCACGCATGCCGAGCTCCGGCGTCTGGAGCCATCGAGTTTCATGAGGTGCCTCCCTGGATACGTCAGTGTATCAGATGTACTTGTATGTCCAAATATCAGCCTGTTGACTTGGTCAATATTCACGAGTGGGTGGGATTTTCAAGGCACCGATTCCGAGGTTACCAGGCTGCTTTGCCTGTTTCTCACACACCCAGCACCCTTGACACGAGATAAAACCTAGCTCAGCTGTACCATCGATGTGTGTAAACGACACTATCGACTACTTGGTAATCCAATCGTCGGGCGTAACGGCAGCAACTCCGGGTTCGTCGCGGTAGTCTCGCAAATGTCAAGTCTTAAGGGTCCCGGTGACGTTCCCCTGCGTGTGTGGACTAAGGGGTATATTATCCCTGTCACCACCCTGCGCATCTGCCAGTGCTGCGTATATTAAGGTCCGCAATGTCAACGAACATTTTCCTCGTCCCACCATTATGTCTACCCCAATGCATCTGGTCGACCTCCCACCGGAGGTACTTTCGCTCATAGTCAACGACATGGACCGAGATACCCTCCTTGCTCTCTGTCTGACAGGAAAACGCATACTCCATGAAATAGCCCGTCGTTACCTTCGGCAGAATGTCATGGTACTGTTTGACGCGTGCCGAAAGCCCAAGCCCAACCTCTTTTCATTCGATGACGGTCGTCTATCAGCTATCAGGTCGCTCTCACTCGTCGTTCATGGATACATTGAGTTGGATTCCAAGTTATGTTCGTTGGTTTTCATGAAGATGGTCAACCTGAATGATGTCCGTGTGGTGGGAGGACCCGGTGTTCTCGTCCGTTGGATAGTCGAGAGCACGGGAGCGTCTCTCACGACCGTTGAATTGGAAGGATGCGATGCGGAGCCGCAAGATTTCGTTGGTATGGCTCCGGTTTGTATTCGGAGACTTGTCATTTCGCGCTGTCATTCGAACATACGATTTATTTTGGGTCCATTGACTGTGGAGGAGCTTGAAATGTATGGTCCAGGTTCGTCGTTCCGCGCATAGCCTTGCCATAGTCACCAACGAGCACACGTGAAGGTCTCGACGGCGAATGTATGCATGTTGGTGTAGCTTTACGGCGACTAACGGGAGGGCACCTGAAGGGGTTGTATCTTATCGATACGTGCCGAGATCGGGGGTGTCGTGATATCGTGCATTTGACGCGCGCTTTGGAGGTATAACCCCATTCGCTCTAGTTCTGTCGCGGTACTTATTTTATACTTTGGGACCACAGACGCGCCTAGGATCGCTCGAGGTGCTCGTTCTGGATATCCCACTCCCGCGGGGTGCGTTCGAGAAGCTGGTCCGGACAGTATCTGTGTACCCGGCGTTGAGGAGACTCTGCCTCGGCGGGGTTCCCTCGTCGAGAAGCTTACAGTCATGTGGTGGGTATCACACGCTGGACGGACTTCGCTTTTCTCTTACCGCGGTATGTGGATGATGCTGTGAAGCCTATGCCTTACTGATAGATCTCGTCGATGTAGAAAGCGGATAGGTCTCGCCTGCAAGAAGATTCGAAGGCGGCGGGGATGAATGCCCCAGTTTTGGAGGAGGCGGCGTATTGATAAACTCTAAATTCTAATTGTTTATTGTTGACTCATACTTATCAGCATGTCAAGTGTTTTACGGAACCTTCTCCGGAGGTCGTGATCTTTGTCAGCGACGATTCAATCCTTGGTCTTGTTGAGTCGTTGGAAAGAAAGAGATGCAGATATCATCTTCGCTGTTCGACAAGCCTAACGGACCAAGTGGAACGCTTCCTGTTCGTTTCTTTCTTGACAAAACGACATCGGTCAACTTAATGGCGCTGGGACGCGAAACTTAGCAGTTACATTCCGACATCTCCAGTTTGAGCCACTCTTGGGAAATGGACACTATTCGAGATTTATTCAAGTTCGTCGTAGCCCCGCACCCTCTATCCGACGCGTCTCGAGTGGGTATCATATACGATTCCTACGTGGCAATGCAGGTGGGAAATGAGGGGGTTTTCCCGCCCACGTTAAACTCGAGACGACAAAACGAACAAATAGTGACGGTTCGGGAATTCTAGATGGCCGAAAAACGCGCGTGTACAGGAGTAAATTGGAATATGTTGCGAAAAAGCGTAACGAAGGAAAAAAAAGGTCCAATCGCACGTTAAAATGGGACCCCAGTGAGGTCGGCCACATCTCCGTCCTCGGAAGGAGCCGATCTCGATCTTGACAAGGTGAGTAGCATACAGTGGCGGCAAATTCCGCCGCCGATTCCCTTGAGCGTGTTGTGTTGTCAACACCGCCAAACAGACACGACTTGGTGCTCGACCACCATCAGGGCGGAGGCGTGCTCGAACTCCCTTCGGACGGCTTTTAATGTAGGAGAGATCCATGTGGGACCCGAGGTACGCAGCAATATTTATTCTTGTCGGCGTCACACTGATGTGTAGTGGGATTGCTGTATCCGCGCCAACGATGCAGTACTCGTACCACCACCACCGTCATTGTATGTTTAATTATGGTTTTGTTGTGGTTCTTTATTGACAGGAACCAGGCTTAGATGACTCATTAACTTCTGCACAACGACGGACGAATTTTCACATTCCTTCTTGCCGCGGCACGATTGTGGCTATGGTGTTCGTTGTACGCAGTCAATAATGAAATCTCGTGCTTCGCGGAGATCTATCATTCGAATGGGGGAGATCTATCGGGAATTCCACGTCAGGGTCAGCCGCCTTTGCTTTTTCAAATATCGATTTGCAATCATATAATCTCGGTTTTCTTCTTTCCCCTCCTTCTTCCCCACCTTCAACGATGACCAGCAGTATCCCATCGTCCACATCCACCGTCACCGTCCGCGCCATAAATGCTGGCACGATCAACTTTTTGCCTGCTTCGCTGTTCTTCAAGCCCATCCTACCGGGCTACGAAGGATTGTCCGGACCAGTATACACCTTCCTCGTCGAACATCCGATTAAGGGAAGGGTCATGTTCGATTTGGGAATGAGGAAGGACCAGGAGAAGTACGCGCCTGCGGTGCAGGGATTCTTCGACCTCTTCAGAGAGCTGGGTGGGTATGATATGGGCGCTGACGCGGGTAAGACAGCGAGCGAGCAGCTGGTGAAGGGAGGAGTAGATTTGGGCAGCGTGGATGCTGTCATTTGGAGGTGAGGTTATCTCAAATCTATCGGCGCCCTTGTACTAATGCCGGCTTTTTGTGTAGCCATACCCATTTCGACCACATCGGTACGCTGCTGCCCATGTTGTTTCGTTTATGCAAGGAAACTGATGTTGCCGGTTGACAGGTGATATATCGCTGTTCCCATCCGCTACGGAATTAGTGGTCGGACCGGGGACAGATCTCCGCACTTACCCTGAGCACGAGGACGCGCATCTTATCGAGAGCGATACTGCGTCAGTTCATTCTTTTACGATTTTAGTATCTGTACCAAAATCTTACGACTTGTAGTGGGCGTAAGGTGACGGAACTCTCATTCTCCAACGCAACGCTGCATATTGCAGACCTTCCAGCTCTCGACTACTTTGGTGACGGGAGCTTCTACGTACTCGATACACCTGGTGTGAGTTATCTGCTTCGTCTTCACCCTCGATTCATACTGACGGTCTATCCCAGCATCACCCAGGTCATATTTCTGGTCTCGCACGCGTAACACCCACAACGTTCGTGCTGCTAGGAGGTGACTGCTGCCACCACGTTGGCGACATCCGACCCACAGCACACCACCGCTCCCTATGCCCCTGTCCTGCCCCGCTCCTTCATAGTGCGACGGCCTCTCTCTGCAAATCCCACTTCTCCGAAATCGCCTCCGAGCCCTTACTGAAGATCCCTCCACCTCCCGCTGCCTCGGTCTACAAGGATTATGACGCGACGATGCGCTCGTTGGGACGTTTGGCGCGGCTTGATGCGGACCCGGATGTGCTGATGATTATTGCGCATGATGGGACTGTGCCTGGTGTGGTGGAAGAATTCCCGGCAAATGTGAATGGGTGGCAGGAGAAGGGATGGAAAGATAAGCTGATGTGGAAATTTCTGGAGAAGGATGGCGGGGGTTGGAGGTTTGGGTGATGGTTACATCAGACGGAATTGTCCTACGAGCGGGCCGGGATACCGCAAATACCGGAACAGAGATTCTTTGGAACTTCAAGACCTTCGTTGCTGTCGTATTCCGAAAGAACAAACACTCCCCCCCTTATACTAGAGGAGAGGGGCAAACAATTTGATGGCTTCTACGCTATTGTGCTTCTAGTCAACCATGGAACCAGTAACTGCTTTCAGGAATGTCTTTCATTCATTGGCGATGATCAAAGGAATACGCTATGTGATCTATAACCGCATTTATTCCCCTAGCACGCCGTGCTGTTCATGTACCAATCATATCCAGGGTTAGAATCTCCCCAAACCCACGTCTCTGGCCATTGCTCTTCGATGATAGTCGCGATTTCATCTGAAGTCAGACCCGTCGCGGTGATAGCAGTGATGGCGGTGTAAGTTCCATCGCCGTTCGAGCTTACGGATGGCCCATAATTCAGCTAAATGTAAAGTATCAGTGGATGGCTTTCTCTGCACCGGCGCTGGATTGGTGGCTTACGGTGATACTAGTGATGCTCGTTCCGTTGGGATAGGTCGAATCTCCGAAACGGTACAGAAAACCTATAGAGGAAGCGGCTTAGCCGTGGTAGCAAGTTGACTTGGAGGAGGCGACGAACCGTAGGTCAGCTGGTTGGCAGCGCCGGCGGCGTAGCTGGATGATTTGGGGGTGACGACAATGGTACATTCTGGCCCGGCGTCGCGAGCTGCGAGAGGGGAAGAGGCGACGGCGGTGGCAGCCAAAAGAGCGGTAAATGCGCGGCGGAAGGACATCGGTGCAAACTGGATAAATCGAGACGTGGTGGGGTTGGGGTGGGATTGGTGGCTTTTATACGAGTAGTATGAACAGGGTCGGCAGCGCGTGAGGGGCGGGGATGCTGATTTCGCCTCGCGGTTGCTTGAAATTGATATTCGGCTGTTCGCTTTACTCGTGGGGGGCTGAGGGAGACGCGATGCTGAGAGGGTCCTTTGAGTGTCGTGCGAGAACGTATTTGGGCTATGCAAGGCGTTCTTCTTTATTTTCTCTCGCCAGGTTCTAGGTGGCTTTCTATGAACTCGTCGATAATGCTCTCATATTACAAAGCATAGTCTGCTGTAGAAACCCTGGGCTGTGGAGTACTGTCCAGGAACACCCGCACCGCAGTCGTTTCCAGAACGCTATAATCCCTCCCTGATCAATTATCCGAACTGTTTCTATGCAGACGACGCATGCGCCATTTGCCATTTTAAGGATAGATATGATGGGTTCGCATCAAATACGGCGAACGAGCCTTTGAAACGTCCGTATACAGGTTCGAAGGGCGAGCGAGCGTCTGGATGGGCAATGTTATGGAAACTTGGTAATGTGAACGTCGTAACTTGACTCGCTTGTGAAGCTTCTGCCTCTTAGATTTCTTCCCTGAACGAGTCTGTACAATAATTACCAAGCTGCTATTCAAAATCGTCGTGAAGCCATCTGCCTGATGGATATGAGACGTATAACACTGATGGCGCGCGCATAGCAACGTGAATATCATCTGCGCCTTTTATGGTGCTGGGTAAACTCATATCCTTTCCTGGTTAATGATGCAGCCGAACAAACGCATTATCCAACGAGACATATAGGTATATGGTATATGGTATATTTCGTTGGCGGATCAAAGAGTCCTAGGACTGAAAACGCTGGCTAGAATCTCCACCGCCAACTTCGAAGTCAATTCGAGGTCGCGATGACGTTGCGGCGGTGATGCCCAAATTTAGCCTGCGAACACGCTTCCATTCTCGTTCGTGTCATTCACCTGGGTCTGGGTTCACTTTTACAACATTCTCTAGTTCCAACCCCTCCCAAGTGCAAGGGAAACTGTATCTATCACTTCGGTACATATAGACTCATCTCGAAAGAAAATCCTCTACAATGCGGGACGATACTTTCTGCTGAATGTTATGCAATATCCCGAAGCGCTTGAGTGGTCAGTAGACGTTCAACGTCCTGTGCTTGTTCCCGACTACCCCAACCATTCGGATGATGTCGCTCTGTGATGCGTTGGTACCCGAAATATAGAGTGTGCAATAGTGGGGTCTTTGGAGCAAAAAAATGAATCCACCGTCAGCTCTTTTATAATATCTGCGGTGATGAGATCACTGTTCATCTGTATTAAATGAGAGTATGCGCAGAGCGACGGAGCCGCGATAGGATTCTAGATAACCCTCGACAATGAAAGACGGTGATTGGGGGGAGTGGGAGCGTAGAAGGAGATAAAACATATCGAGTTAAAAACTGGCCTGTATCTCCTGTGCACCTCCTTTTTCACCACGTGAAACCTTTCATAACGGATAGTGCGGGGAGTGTGAGCCTATCTGCAACCTGGTGGAATCGTCGCGTTAGGTTACAGGAACACCCATTCCTTAGTTACATTTTAAAAAAGACATCTCTCAAAATTTCTATGAGTGCGCTAGTCGTCTTTGTGTCCAGTGCAGTCCAGCGTCCAATGCTCGGCACCAGGTAGTAGTAGGAGAACTGATACTGGTGCCGGCGGCATCCTATGTGTCCCGATTAAAAAAAGCATCGGCTGGGGCGGGCCGCCAGTTCGGTTCTGACCAAATTCATTATTGACCTCGACCGCAGTACGCACGCATGTACGAAAGGTCCACTATTATCCCTGGGAAGGTCATGGTATTGTATATCCCTCCCTCGAATATTATGTTGGGGGTTGCACCTTCAAAAGAGATTGACACGGATTGATTGGCTCATTCACAATCAAGTCTACACTTCGTTATTCCTAAGCTTTGCCCGAAACTTCCAATTCCTCCTCGATATATTTCTGTATGGCGGCAAGCGACGGATCTTCATCCCTCCACGGGACGCCAGACTGATTATCTTCATCGTCCAATTTCTCCCACACGTCTTTGTCGGTGATGTGATTCATTTTCTGTTAGAATTAAAGTTTGCACGACCGTCAACAAAGAATTTGTATTTGCGTATCTGGCTAAGTTCAACACCAACTCCGTTATATTTCTTTTCTAACTTTGTCTTCATCTGCCCCTCAGTGAGAGTGCCATCCTTGACGAGTTCTCGAAGTGTGTCTTCAAGGTCGACGGCTCCTTTCACGTCTGTAGCAAACAAAGAAATATCTCGAAAACATTCCTGTAGTTTCTTCACGGTAAACCTACGGACACACAGCTCTTTGATGCCCCTTCCAGACATCAGTATTTAAGAGAGCCTGAAAGAAGATCCTGAACTCACTTTCGCTGTTCCTTGAGCTGTTCCTCCCCTGCGATAGCCTCGTATATGAGCAGAGTACCATCAAGGATGACTCCAACGACAGTCAACACCGTAGCCGCAATTTTGAGAACATGGAGACCTCTAGCGACAGTTTCAGTGATCTCCTCTGCTTCAAGACCAGTGTGAATGATGTCGCTGCCGGTTTTCATGACCTCCAGTCCTTCTTTCGACCCCCCTATCATAAACGTGGGACATGTTAATGTGTGTAATGCCCGACATTAGCATTGGTACGCACCAGAAAGGGCCTTAGAAAGGCCCGTTGCGATGGTTTGAAGGTGCATGCGTAGCAAACCATTATTCAAAAGCTTTGTTGCTACTGCAGCTGTTGAAATATATCCTTTATAAGACTCGGTATGTAGAAGTGAGATGAATCAACTAACCTCCAGCACCACAGAAAAACGCTGCTGCTGCGACTGTGCCGGACACTTTCAGACCAAGATTCAGACTATCGTCCTTTCCATGTAACGCTTTCACCATCTTGATATATTTCTCTCTGTCTTCCGCAGTAAAGTTCTTTAGCGCTTCGTCCCTGTATTCCTCGACAGATTTGTAGCCTGAATTGTGAGCTATCTATTCGAGGATCTTCATCGTTCGTTCGTCCTGGAACTTGGCATCCTGAAGGTTGTCTTTTATAACACTTTGAATCGAGCCGATATCGGTAGCAAGCTGTTTCACCCGATCTGCTCGATTCTGGTTGTCTGAACACAGGTCATAAGATGTATAGATGATTCAATGAACACGCAAATGGCTCACCAGGATATATAATTCCCATAGCGAAAGCTGATATTAGAATGATATCTAAGAGGAGAACGAGGAGCAGGGATGATATCGACTCGCGAAGCATCTTAAATATACCTAGGACCTAGTTCACTAATTTCATACATATCTCACAAAAGAATGCACATGTAGAATGAGGGACTGCGAACTTTCAGCAGTGACAGTCAGAATGGGTGCATAGCATCCGAGTCATTTCACCAATCAGCGCCCACGGTCTCCGGTCCGGACGTCTACCCGTGATCGTGCAGTAGATCACAGCATCAGCTTCCTTAGCTTGTCCAAAAATAGGGACGGAGAAGATGCGTGCAGACCTCCCTAGTACCTACTCCCTACTTGTGAACAACGTTGAAGTCAGAAGGAAGGCTCACATGATCCAGCTCTCATCCCCCACGCACACGAATGACCTAACACACCATGTGGCCCTGAAAATGCCATAAGCCCCAGGAATCTGGCACTATTTTATAATTCCTGACTCATAGTCGAAGGTGTGAGTCGTGCGACATGACTGCGTGCCAACTGTCTTCGGAAAAGCTTAAGGCGCGTACACGCTCTTTACTAGTAGTGGTTCCGTAGACGACTAAATAGGCACCGTGGCTTGGACGCTAGATCTGAACCACCGCGCGCAACAGCATATCACCATACGACCTTGGTAGTGAGATTTCCGTAAAACAATTGTTCCAGAGCAATCTGCTACCGTGGAGGGCAGATTGGCAAAACGCACCGCCGACGCTACTGAATGTTGCTCCGGACAAGGACAGCATGCATACAGGCATTAGGTTTGCCCTGGATTCCTGTTCCGCTAGCAAATATTGAAAGCGTACCTTGTTTCAGTACCGGTGAGTACGATACGTTGCTGGCAGTTCAGGACCTCAAGCGATGTCAATGTTGGTAATCACAAAGGGTCTGTAGTTCAGGTGTTCCGTCCCTTATGGCCTAACGATTTCGTCCGCGATCTTCACCAGTACTGCCTATCTAAGCCAACGAGGACTGCAAGAAGTTTGGATTAGCACTGATATTCCTCATCCATTTGCCCTGGCTCCGAAATAGGCTTGATATCACAGCTCGCTGTCCCGGACATCCGATGTAACCAAGATAGGATTCTTTGAGGGCGATGCTACGGATGCCATAGCCTCATAATTCAGCTTCGGTGTATCAGAAGAGAACCGCTCGATGTGGCTGTCCTTGACAAACTATACACGGTCGCAATGAGGGTTCTATTGCTCGTGCGGAGTATCGTCTATTTTGGACTTCAAAACCCCGATTCTGATAATCCCTTTATCCCGCAGGGACACTTCTATGATACAGTCCATCAATCGCTCATAAACTGTGTGCATGAACGGCATGAAGTGCACAAAGGTCGGCCGGGAACGACTTTCCTGCTTGGGGGAGGAGCCATTGTTCAGCGGAACCACGACGTTTCGGGGATCCTCGTGTGCCTATGCCTGCATTTCTACCATTTGTGAAATTCATTTTGTAAAATCACAGTTTCCCTTCGGTCTACCTCGTCAACGGTCATGCGCGCGTTTGCTGACCAAACTAAAGCTATGAACTCCCAATCTTAGATCCATATAGCACAAAGACCGCTTAGTATGTATCCAGATGATAGAAATAACACCTGTCATAGTCGGCGGTGTTCTGTCGTCAATTATTCCATTGCGGCTAGTGCGATATTGGTTGACGCATGACAACCTCCTTGCATCACGGCAAGCCATCTTCTCCCTTGGCTAAGACCAACGTAGAGCGCTCAGCGCTCAAACTGTAATTTTGGGATTGCCGATTTGGAATCTGTACAGTAGATGTACTGTTTGAAGAGAACGCACGGTTCCGTACTAATGTGCCCTGGCTCGCCACGGTCGCAAGAGTGGTGTAATATTATGTCCAGCAATACAAATTATACACCCGCTTAAGCGAGATACTAACAAGACGCCCTGGCCGTCGGAGATACCTTACGATTTAACCAGCACTAGGACTGAAACAGAAAAAAAAACGGCCTGAACAACATTCAAGAAAGATAATGACGAGAAACTTAAGAATGATGTTGTTCCCTCTTTGATTCAGAACCCACTCAGAATTGAATATGATCAAGTTGATGCGAGGTCATGCTGAAGAGAAACGGAGTCTCGACTCTCCCGTGAGATGCACCTGGGCACGGGCTAAAGCTACATTGACATCCAACGCCGAGCGCACTGCCCACACTTCACGAAGCAGTGGTCCCAGGGAACCCCCAGGCCATTTTTCACAATCGCCGATTCGACATGTGCATTCTTTCAAGTAGACAGCGAGAGATATTCATGCCTTACCTGTGGCCTCCGATTGAATCTATAAAGGAATATTGAGTCTCAGATATAAAGCCCGGGGCCTCCGCACCGCGTACTGTCTCTCAGAAAATTCACAACGGGAAACTCTATCTCTGACAGGATGTTCTACGACAATCCGAATCGCCGCGCACGAGCTAGCCAATTGAAAGCCGACATCGAAGCTTTCTGTAATGAATTCAAAGCGCTTGAAAGACAAAGGTATTTCCTTGCTCTCTTCAACTGTATCCTTTTCTTCTTATTCCTGACTATTACAGAGACGAACTGTTGAGGGTACTCAAGCCACGTCTTGGCGAATTTCTCAAGAAGAATGGCTACAGCTCTGCAGAAAAGCTGGATGAGAGGGTTCAAAGCGTCCTCACAGGACAAGCGCTCGCTGATTACAATGAAGTGAAGAAAAAGTGAGTTACTACACGGCCTCCACGCCAATATGCGGCTTTCGATTGATATTATTTAAATCTTTATAGGTATGATAAAAGTTCAGAATTGGAGAGCACAATTTTCCAGATCCCCAGTGTAATCTCAGTCGCCACTGGGGTTTTCGTCCTGACTCTCGCCGTACTCACTGTCATAATTGGAGGCACTGCACTTGCTGCAATCTGAGTCATCGGAGCTGTATTGGCGGTTGTGGGCCTTTCCGCTGTCCTCTTCGCCTTCTTCAGTGGCCGCGAAGAGCGAGCTGTAAGTTCAATTTGGCATATAATTTCAGCATCCGAAACTTCAGTAGAACTTGCAAGAAGCTATTAGAAAACTAGCACCTGAAAGGGTTAAGGCGCACCAGGCCCCAATGGAAATAAAAGCCATTTGTATGTGGATATCCTCGATTAGTATGTCTGTTTATACCTCCCCTGGGTGTGAACCCATGCTGACTTGTGGTTCAGAGGACTGGCTTGATGACCCTGATATAAGTGGGAACCCAGAAATAATGAAAAGGGAATTAGGTGGCGACTTCAAGGACGATTTCGCCAAAGCAGATAGAGCACATGCCATTGAGGTACGTAAGGGTCAGATTTCACTGCTGTTAAATTCTGCAATGACTGATGATGATAAACAGTACTTGATTAAATTTGACGGTGAACGCGGCGCATGGATGAAGGAGGATCCGGACTGGACAAATCTATCCATGTCCTCATACAGCTCAATAAATCCACCTGCTTCTTTCTCAAATGATGATTTATCGCAAAATTCCTCTGACGAAGCCAAGGAAAAGGCCTCTAAGGTATTTTCTTCTGTTTTTTTCAATGATACATTCCATGAGCCTGTGTGCTATAGATCATAGTCGAGTATAGCAACGAGCAAGGTAACAATGAAGTCGGCTCGCTTTTGCTGAATGTCATCGATTATACTAAGGATACCACTATGACAATAGATGCAGAGGTGAGATATTTGGTTCTTTCCGTGTGAGACAGCAGATTTATTAGTGCATATCTAGGGAGATAAATGGACCTTGATCATGGACTCCATTGCATTGAAATGTGACAAAGCCTATGGTCAGATCAGGGACTATCAGTTCTCACTCAAGGGCCTTCAAAGTGGGCACATATTGATTGGTTGCAGAGTAACATCGTTTGCTGGGGAACCGTGAGCAGTCAGAGGGAAATGGCCAGAGCTACTAAAGTACAAATACAAGGGTATGATGTTGAACAACGAGCTGTGATGCAATAGGAAGTCTGAGATTCAGCATATAGTTGGCAACAAGAAATATACACTCACTGCTGGGATCAATTTTGGGAAGCAATCGTTGGATGATTCAGAGAAGACCTAGTAAAACATGAGAAAGATCATACATTGGAAACAGCACCTGTAGTTTGGTCTTGTATTATGTTCAAAATCTTCTGTGTACTGCAAGGTGAGGTCTCCTCGAATCAGAGTATCAGAATATAATTGACGGCAAGAAATCCGCATACATTATTACTGGTCCACTTGCAACGAAGGTGGACCAGTATTCGGCGTTTCCAGTGGAGAGCTGCGGAGAAGTCTGTGTCGCGTCATCATCGGTATTGTTTGGAGATTAGCATACTATGGTTCCTTGACATATAGCTCCCGTGTTCATTACTGCCCTCGCTCCTTGATCAGTATATTAAGGAAGGGATGCCTTTTGGATTTTTTACCAAATGAGGTGGGGCCCGTTGGGGAGCCACTGCATAGCCGTATACCAATATGCAGATAATACTCACGATTTGACGAGAAGAGGATAGTTGTGGCATCTGATTATGTCGCCCGCGCTCGACACCCTATGCGTCGTCTCTGTTCGCCCAATTATTTGAATATTCTGTCACTGTCTTTGGTACGCAGGACATTAATATGAAGGTTATTATATGAGATCAAGATCCAAAAAATCGATTCTTCATCTTTTGTCCACCGGGAGGTGTAGGAATGCATCGAGCTAATTGTACAGAGCACAAGATCGTAATATCAATCCAATAGTCGTGACTGCCTTTGGAACGGTCCGAAGAGGGTAAATCTCTCCCCGTTCCGAGAATTCTTCTTCATATGAGGTACCAATACGAAATGTTTCCACAAGAAACAAAAGACAAGTGTTCCGGCTCATATATCTCCCATGACCTGGGTGTATTCAGTCCTGAACGCGATGCTTAATCCCTCCGCTGTGATACGTCCAATGCGGAAAGACCTGCCACTGTGTTCGGTCCGTCACTATTTCGTCCATCTACTGAAAGGAGCCGGCATACGTTGGGAGCGATGGCGTGGTCCGGTTCCTCTGAGATCACGTGTGGCATTGCCGCTTGTTCGTAGCTACAACCAAGACTATCACTAGCCATTCCCGATTCCCTCTCTTGGACCTAGGGATACGGTTCCAGCACGCTTTCCGAATTTGTTGTTATAAACATCGATCTCCGCCATAGCTTTTGATGTGTTGAATCCACAATTCATTTTAGTAGATGGGGAGGAAAGCCCTTACCAGCCTTTTTGTCCCTAGTTCACCCCTTGAATCATACTCCAAAATCAGTGTACATTCTACGTCGTCGAACAGAGGAGTGAGCACCCACATCCGTATTCAAGGCCACTGCGAAGAGAGTACGCGTTTGCCTGACGCTCGCTGCCGCATTTTTGTGTCCATCTGAGCATGCTTGTGGCAGACGGCCATGCGATGAGGAGTTAGTACGATCCCAAGACTAGCGTATCAGGTGATTGGACCAGTGCAAAGAAAGACATTGACGCGAGATGTGCTGTCTCAGAACTGATTTTGAAAGCCCCTGATGGACAGTAAATAGATAGCGTCGCGTCGCTGCTATGGCCCTAGAGCTTGTAAAAATCTGAACATACCTTCGAGTGCGCCCTAAATACAACTACGGCGTCAAAACAATGGTGAGAGATTCCAGAAACCAAAACACAAACCAAGGATCCATGTCCCCGACGGCCATCATGGCGCGCTTTTCGAATTTGTTGTTATAAACATCGACGTCCGCCATCGCTTCATTGGTGTCCTAGCACAGAACTCATTTCGTCGTGCTTATTTGGCCGCTACATTTCCTGACGATAGTGTCTGAGTCTCAGGATTGCGGGCTGTAGTTTCAGATATGAAAGGGGCAGCTTCACTGCCTGGGAAACATGCATCCACTCCCTGACTGAGTGGATCTGTTCAAGTTCCTTGTTTTATCGCTGAAGATGCAGGGTACAGACACTGGCCGATTTCTAAGCTGAGACAGGTGCAGTGTCAAGCACCCCTTGGAGCAAACCAAAGTATGTCATGCTACTATATAAAGATGAGCAGATGCCGAGGACCAAGAATCCAAACTTTCCCAGTGCATTTTCTTCTGTTAGTTGACACTTTGAGCATACCAATATATTGTCTTTCTTTCAATCGATCATACAAGTATGGCTTCCGGCATTTTTATGTCAGCATCTTAACTCTTTCAAGTTATGATACCCTTGTTCTGCCTTTTGTGTCTTTGCTTCGACTTCCAGTGATCAGAGTGACTTTTTGATCTAGCCCAAACAAGAATTCACAACCCTGTTTGACTGCGGAAAGCATGGTCGACAAAAATGTCTCGTTCAGATCTCTCTTTAAGGTTTAAGGTACCATCAGTAATGTAAATTTGCAATATTTTGGACTATATAAGGCCAGTCCCAACAATGTTGTCTTTCAATTCGCTCTCTCCATCAAGACCGTCTACATCTTCTCGTCGCACAATGGTTCCATCGAACGGAAGTACTCGAAATGAAAACAACACAACCCTACGAACAAAACAGCCATTCATGTTTGACTTTGTGGCTTATCGAGACGAGTGGCTCCAATCCCCGAGCTCGAAGTGAGTGATCCATGTTGTATTACTAGTCTTCACATGGCCCCCACCTACTCCCTCCCAGATTACTCATCGGGGGACACTCTATCCTCACGATGAAACAACGTTTATCCTTCCGCTATATCATCCGCGATACATTTGCTCTTGTCACGACCAGCTTCTTCAACTATATGCCAGGAAGGCCGGAAATCGACAGCAATACTGGGCGACGACTGCTCGGGGTCGACGAATGGGTGGACACTATTACTATGCGGCCAAAGTCTGTACGCTGCTTGGGGTGTAACGACCGCATACTGTTTACTCGTAAAGATTTTGATGTTAGGATGTGGCAGACACATCGGGATTCCTGCAAGGGCATTGATGATATGATGAAGAAAGCCATTGTGAAGGAACTCATCATGCTGGCCAATGATGCGGAGTTCTGAGCTCTTCGATACTCGCACCGTCTTTGAGAATTAGCTAGGGTAAAAGTGTTTGCATAGGTGTAAGTCTGTACATTCACTGCATGTCAATAAGAATGAAAAGGATTAAACATACCTAACATGGTGTTCTACCTCGTAAGGTTGATAACTTTTCATGGAAGGGAAACATACTTCAGCCATCACTCACACCAAGTCACTATTACATCTCAAACTTGTGATTATATCACATTACGGCCTTGGAGTCATGGAAACCGCTAGTACTAGCAAGACTGATCCTCCATCCTGTGCAACAGAAAAGAAAGTACAAGTTCATCATCAGTGACTGCTGACTGGAGTTAAATTTGCCAGAACACTGGGAACATGTCGCTGGTTTGGTCTGGTGTGCAGTTGTAAAAGCAGATCATTCCAGAAACCAAGACACAGGAAATGTTGCCAGGCTATCTTTTGGAGATATTCTGAATTTGGAACCAATGGCATGGTGCAAGAAGACTGACTTGATAAACTAAGGAGCTGAAGTAGTGCCTTTCCAGAGAGATGAAAGATTGGCCTAGCCATGATTACAGTGCACAGTATAGTACTTACATCTGTCAAATTTAATATGATGTTCCATAGAGCTATAGAGCAAAGTTTAGATTTGAAATGCCCCAAAACACTAACTCTGCATGGCTCAAATTCTTCATGTTTTTGTGACTCTCATCCTGATGTCCACCAAAGTCACCAATGGCAAATGGGCACCTTGTTTATGATATCAAAATCATGAATATTACAGCTGACTCACCACTCCATTAATGAGAACTGCTCTGGTCTCAGAGGGAGACAATTTTTTTTTAACTTCAACTTTCCTCTTGGTGTTCCTGTGATGAAGATGATGTGGCCATATCCACTCTTAGTTGTTATGCCAAGCTCATATCATGTACCCTATACCGAACTGTGCCTCCACCTGGATTAATCTGCACTGGGGAACCTTTTCCAAAAACACTTATGTCAAGATTGGTATGATATGCCACTTCTATCCAGAGCATCTCAACAGAAACATCATTTGGCCATATATGATCCAAGAGGCTCAGGCCTGTGAGATACTGATGAAGCATCCTCAGTAGAATGCAGCACAGTATTGTGGATATATCAAGAAGGATGGGTTAATTGAGCCACTGCATATAAGAATAAAGGGTAGGAAGATTCCACCATGTCTCCATCATATTGATGAATATTTTCATATCAAACATGATACTTCCACCAAGGTGAGGTGTCTGGAGACAAAGAAGAAGAATTGCTGTTCCATCAATGTTTAGGGTCAACTTGGTGAGGGCTTCATAGAGAGAAATATCAATATAAGTGAACCACATTCAAAGTGAAGGTGTCAGTTTCTTCATATGACATGCTGTCCACTGTCAGAGAAACAAGGGCAGAGAGTGTAAGTTTGGAGAGAATCTGTTTCAGAGTTGTTGGCCACTCATTGCATAGACAAGCCACATGTGACACAAGATTTAATGACTGCAAATGTGTGCATGTCAGAGGATAAGCTCTATTGCTATCATCTTCCAGTTTCATAGTGTTATGTTCACAAAGTAGAGAGCAACTCTCTAGCTGAGCATGAGATGATGAAGCGATATCAGACCTATATTGAAATGACCTGTGTTACTATGGTGGCTTTCATAGGTATTAATCTGGTGCCATGGAAGAATGAAATAACTGACCAGTTCATCAATGTCAATGACTCCCAGGGCTTGAAGCATTGGCACTGAAGGAGACAAGTGGATTGTCTCATTAAGCTTTTCTATGAAAGGCAAAGATAGTCATAAGCATTTCATTCAGCAGAATGTCTTTGAATGCAGGAAAATGTGGAGTTCTTTGATGGAGAGAGAAATATCAAATAGGATTTTAGCCAGCCACTGAGAAGGAACCTTCATGGCATAGTATTTGTTACTACTAGCAGTGGAGACAAATAATGGCCAATTTTCCAACTGAATAAACTGTTCTCCAAGACATTCCACATAGAGAGAGGACTGCTGTTTGCAGGGTCTGTGGAAGAAATATTCATGTATGACTGGAGTTCAGGAAAAGACATCATAACCATCTTCCACTACCTTGACATGGCTTCAATTGTCCACATAAGATTATGAATAGGGTGAAAATCCCATCTGGTGTCACAGGCCTTATTCACATGCATTACTTATGAGATTCTTATAGCTAGCACATCAGTCATATTGAATGCTGTTATGATAGCAAAATATATTTTCTATCCTCAGTTGTCTTTGGATAAATCAATAACACAGACTTGATCAAATTTGATGTTATATAAAAGGTGTGTATGCTGAATTGTCACTCTTCCATGTTTAGTATGTGTTCAGTGCTATATGTAACACTCAATCCCTCTGCCATGTACTTGTCCAATGCAGAAGAGCTGTTATATCATTTACTTCATTATTTGCATCTATTATGATGAGGTGACATAGATTGACTTCCTTCAAGCACTGGATGCAATAATGACCTTGACAAGAAGCAAGATGCCATTGTATGCCCACTATTTCAATGAATGCCTCCATATCAAATGCAATACTTCTGCTGAGGTGAAGTGTCTGCAGATGAGAAACAAGAATTGTTGTTCTGTCAAGCTTCAGGTTCAACTCAGCAAAGACTTTGTGAAGCAGAATGTTGACATGAGTGAGCCATATGTCTACCAAAATAGGTGCCACACAAAGAATATCAAGTAAATCCTCCTCTGAAATGAAGCCATGATCAAAATAGAGGACAGTGATAGGGCATTGAGATATGACAATGAGATCTCAGATAGTGATGAATGTCCCAGATTCTTCATGAGATAGACAGTCTACTTCCAACAAAATGAGTGCAAGCAATATGAGTTGAGTGAGGATCTACTTAAGCACCATGTCAGAGCTGCTTTCTGAGTCAAGTATATGTGAGAAAATCTTCATTGACTGTAAATTTGTGCACATGAGAGGAAAGACTTTGTTATTGAATGCACCCTTAGTAGAAGGTTCTTCAATATGCAAAGTGCATTCTTCTAGCTGTGTAAGTTTCCTGAGAACCTTCAGTTGAGCATATGTGGTGGAGCACATGCCATCTTCAATCATATAGTTATGGTTGCTTCTGTACCTGACAATCTGGTGCTAAGGAAGAATGACAAAATGGCTGGATTCACTGACACCAATGATCTCTACATCTCAGAGCTTTGAGGATGTTTGCAATAAGCATAGTTTTCCATATGCATTAGTGAAGGCATTATTATCAAGGGAACAGAACAAAAATCTTTCCAATGACAGCAATGGTAATTGTAGCTGGGAAAGTTCAATGAATGTTTGTAAACAGAGAGATAAATAGAGCTCTTGGATATCATGAGACACAGTGTATAGAATTCTGGCAAGTTGTTCCGGAAATCCAGAAGGATTGTTGACATTTATATGTGTTATAGAGACCAATAATGGGCAATTTCATGAATGCCTGAATTGTTCACCCAGACACTGTGTGTACAATGGAATGTGTCCATCATCTAGGATGATGTCAACATATGTCCACAGCTCAGGATATGACAATGCCACCACCCTCCAGTCCTTGGAAACACATTCTATGGACCACAAAGGGTTATCAGTGGGATAAGAGGTCCACATAGGGTCATTAGTGTTACAAGAGGTCCACAGATAACTGTTGTCAGGATGTGTGTGATGAATGGGGAATTCAATGGTATGATGGAATATTTGAAGCAGAATTTCTGCTGGAAGGCATCATATAGAGCTGAGAACATGTTTTCTGTGATCTATAGCAGCCAAAAGTCACTCTTTCTCTCTACCCAAGATCCTAGCTTTCTCTTTGACAGATTTTTGCATCTTTGCTAGCATTTGGTCCAACTTTGCTTTCTCAGTGACCACACTCTGAACCTGCTGCTTGTATGATAATATGGCCAATTTTAGTTCATCTGCTTTGGTTGGTGACAGTTTGTTGTTGCAGTACATCAACTGGTCCAGATATTGGAGATCAATAATTTCTGTAGAGAAGTCATAGGATGGCAGCTTATGATTGGGGCAGGAGCAGCCAGAGCAAGGTTTTCAGCTCCACTGATTTTACTGTGACATTGTCAAAGATTTGAAGTCTGCCACCACCAATGAGACATGAGTTTTAGAGGAGTGAAAGTACTCTCACCCAGGTAGAGTAATTTATAGAGGTAGATAATTCTTGGGCATGGGCAGTTGTGGGAGCAGTTTGAAGGTTGAATGTCACCTTTTGTCAAGCAGTGGTTGGATGCAGGTGGCAAGGTGTTTTGGAGTTTGGCAAAGTTCCTGATCAACATGCATGTGGACTGAACTTTTTGTTTTAGAACCGGTTTCTTGTGATTTTGTGGCAATTATAGGTCTTACAAGTTTGAAATATCCTCCTCAGGTCTAATGACCTGTACTTAGCTTGTTGTTTGAAATGACACACATGGCGGGTTGATTGACACGTTTGTGTCACAGTCAGCGAGGTAACGCACATGTGAATTCCATTTCAAATTAACATCCCCGGACCCCCGAATATCCGAATTTTGGCATTCTGGATCCGTACCCCGATTATGAAACCGGGACCCGTACATGTTCTCAGACTGTAGGAGCGGGCAACAGCTGAATTTCTCTGTTTATGTGTCTAGAACTGCTCCACCTTTTTCACATTGCTCGTCTGACCAACGACCTTGGCGCCGCTCTCATGGATAAGGCGTCGGCCACTGTAGAAGGCAACGTGCGGAAATGTTGTTGATTTACCGAGGCCTCCAATGGGTATGTCTGAGCTGGAATGGGTTAGTTTCATCTATGAGACAAAGTGCTAGCTGCATTGTTTTTGCTCCACCAAGTACTGATGTCGCGCTGCAGCACTGTCAAAAATACGTCCGTTTTCCAGATTTCAGCCTTCATGTGCGAATCGACAATGCATGCACCAAGGTTCAGTATGTTTTCTTGATATAGGTTTCAATATGTGCGCATATACCGTGACCTTTACAGCCTGAAAGAGGTCCGAGATATTGACTTTCCCGTACACAGTAAGAGGTCACGATTTCTCGCTCGATCGTTTCCATGATACCTCTGGAATATGCTAGAAAGTGTTGATCTGCTCCTTATCCAAGTATGCTGACGGTATTCCAGAATTACAGGGGGGAGAAAGAGCTGGGACGAATGTACTTCCTGCCGACATGGGCTATGAATACAAACTTATCGGATTTCTGCGTTGCTTCGAGATACCATGTCCACCGCCAACTGGCAGAGTTTGTGATAGGACCGAATCCGACCTCGTCCGTTGATGACAAACTAGTTCACCTGTGACTGGTGTCGACTATTTTCTTTCCAGAACCTGTCATCTCGCCATTCAAAAGCTGGTTTCTCTTGCGTACCCTGATACCATCGCCCATCAATCCCTGATGATCTCACCTCACGGAGACGCCATACCGCCGGATCCCAAGAGACGCCTCAACTCGAAATCGTACACGGTGCGCGGTGTGTGGAATGGTGTGACCCGCTCCATAGGGTTCAATCCCGATACGGCGTCCATAGCACAGCTGGATATACCACCATTGCTTCTTGAGTGCCAGCAATGACCCAGAAACCATAGCGCAGACGGAATTCACCCAAGTGTGGCGTACGGTTGGAGAGATGTGACATGTGTTCATTTCTCATTCATTTTCAAGACAATTTATCGATTGCGTTCTATGTCAGGCACTTTCATGAGAAACATAGACCTGGACCGACGTCCAATGTAAATCCAGCTGTTGTCAATGATGGCTGCCTGGTTGGGTCCGACAACAGTATTAAGTGCCTCAAGGCGGTGCTATTCGATCAGGTATTCTTGAGTGTTCACTGTTCACTGCTGTGACCTTCCCTGCGAAGACTACACGAGGTCGTCTGATGGCTTAGTGAAGCACACTATCGACACGTAAGTTATTTCATGCATCGTCCTCGTTGTTCTTGATCTTTCCCATACTTTTTCAGGCGTAATATTCAGGCGCCGCAGATGGCTATCGATTGGTACGAGGAGTTCGCATGGAGTAAGGAATCGATGCACGGCCGTTTGAAAGTGGACATCTGTATTGCTTGAGAATGGTGTTTCTTCCTGAGTTTCTATTTGCATATATGACTGTGGACTGAATCGCATTGACTGTAGGACGTACGCACTGTATCGAACATGTTGTAGAATGGCATATATCAACAGCCGAGAAGGCACTGTAATTGTATTATTTGTAAACCTTGTGCTCACGGCTCGAGGCGTGTTGCTGTATCCCAGGTACGTACAGCCACAAATGTACTTCTCGGATCTAATGGATGCTTCCAGGAAGTTCGGACTGAGTCATTCCCGTTTTCGGCGGCTCCAAGCTCCCTCCAAGCGAGACTCGAATTGAGTACTGGAGATCCTAAAGTTGACGTTGGTGTCCGACGCGTATAGGACGATTATAACATTCACCGCTGTTTTGTGAACAGCATAAAAAAACTTTTTCGCCAACCACCATAGCCTCATGGTTCCGATGACAGCCCATTTGATCCGTCTCTCCTTCGCCATATAGGAGGAGGCTGTACAGGTGTCACAATAAAAATTCCAAGGGAAGCAGGTTCCGTCACTCCCACATGTACGTTCCTTTCATCTCTCAGCCCCCGCGAAAAATATACCGTCGCAAGGGCGGCGGTAAAAATAGCAGCAGTAGGGGAACTAGGAAGACCAGCACTAGTTCAAGTGGGAGCCGCTCCTCCGGTGCGCCACGATTACTTGTCATTCATCACTGCGCCTCACGAGATATTCAGGTTCGACGCGTACTCAGTCTATAAGTACCAGTGGGACCTCAAAGCAGGCTACTTCGTATGGAAAGGGCGGCGGTGCTGTGTCCACTATTCCTTCTGGGCAGCTCTTTGCTGGACGCACGCAAGGCGGAGGGACCAGGGACCAGGTGGTTGGCACGAGGTACGTCCAAATTCATCCTCAGAAGACACGCGTCGGTTAATGGTCCTCGGTAGAACCTACGGGAGCGGATATCCAGGTATCACAAGCCGCGGTGTCGCTGGGCTGGGGTTCCCATTCTACTACTGGCCAATAGCGTGGGGCGGTATTGGGCTGGGGTCGGCTGCGTACTTACACGACAGCGAGGTGTGATACTTTTTTCCGTCCGTTCCGTGGTCTTTGACTCACCACCATTAAAAGTACGGACGTCCGGATAACTCGAGTCGGCCAGGAGGAGCCATGACCTACGCCACATTCCCTGCAAGTTCGGGGAACGCTACGTTCCATGTTGTGGCTGACAACGATACCGTGGCCTCACTTATTACGGACGTCAACAGCAATTGCTCTTCGGTGATCAATACTACTTCTACATCCAGCACGCCAATAACGTTCAATGACTCGGATGCCAGTACGCCCAAGCCGGAGCAGTCTGTGCAGTATTATCGTGCAAGCACTGTGGCTTTGACGGTAGACGGGTACAACAATACCGGAGCACTAGAGAATGATACCGCGGATACGCCAATACCTTCTTGGGTAGATACCAACACGCTGAATTGCCTAAATTTGACGATCGAAGCCGCTGTTCCTCTTGTGGATGGCGCGGGCCGACAATGGGTCGCGCCGAATGTAGGCTTCGTGACCCTATTATGGATTGTGTATCACCTCTGTTCGTTTTTCTGATGACTCGGCTGACTTTTGATGCCGCTTTTTGTTGTATTTCTTCAAGCGATGATACCCATACATGATGTGCTGTGATATTTGCATTGTATTATATCTACAGTTTTGATTCCTGTATCTCTATGCCTTGCTTCAGATGTATCTCTTTTTCCATTACAATATACCTGTGTTTTTCTTTGGGGCAGTGATGAGCCTCCAGGCTCTGTACACCCTGAATTTATGTATTTCCTATAACCAGACCTCAGTGGTATTTTCTGTTCTACAACAAGTCTAATATTGTCTCAACTATAACTGGACCTACATTCCTACAGTCATTTTATGTAGTGAATGTCACATCATTCTACACCTCTAGGCACTATATTCATTGATCCTTCTAGATTCAGTCATCATAATTACTGAGCACAGACACCAATCAAAGAATATAACATATAACCTTCAGTATATGTCACTCATGTCATAATTGGGTACTCTCTAATTAATCAATGTTATTGGACTCAAAAGACCATTTTACTAAGGCTGTTGAATGCCAAGTCATATCTAAAACTGATACTCTCCTGGCCACTTGCTTCAGGATGAAATATTTCCACACTCTGTAGTCTCACAGCAGTTTTCTTGTGATGTTCAGTGTTGAAGTCTATGACTTAACTACTCTTGAACTGATTATATTGTCTTGCTGCTATGAAAAATGAATAATAATTATCATATATTTCAAGAATTTTACTAAGCTAAAGTTATACAGTCTTACTAAGATATTATTTACAGACTTAGGTGTAAAAACTGAATACCAAGATACAGTAAAGACAGACAATCCTTGTGTATGTTTTCTGGCCAATTCCAAGTATTAACAGATCTAGCACAAGAATAAAAGAACTAATTCCATGCCAGTTTTCTCATTCTACATGCCATTAAAGTTATACATTCTCTTAGAGTATATGTCACTGGATCCTCACTTTTCAGCTCATTTTATCAACCACCTGTGTTATCTTTTTCAACACCCACTGTTCTTAAACCATTTATTATCAACTCCAACTGTGTTTTCATCCTATTGTGCTTCCTAGGTTTCCAAACTGAAAGTCAAAAGTTTAGTATCATTTTTATCTCATTTAACTCACTAGTTTCAGTCCCAGCATGGACTATTTTACTGACATTTGTGTATCTCCAGATATTCCTCCAATAGTTTCTACAGTTCAGATTATACAACCATTACTGGAGTATCTTTCTGCAAGCTATCTCCAGTTTTCTCCATATCTATAGAAGGCTTTAGTAACAGAATGATACTGATTGCCTTCCCATCTTGATGGTTTAGATCTCTTCCACCTCTTCAAGTCCAGATTGTAGTATTTCACCAAGAGTATTAGGTTGCAGATCAAAAAGTCACAGTGTATAAGTTGCATTAAAGATACTGTCAATGTTACGATTTTTCCTATTTTCTTTCTATTTTCTTTCTTTTTCCTCGGAAATGACCCCTATCTTTGCTTAGTCAGGGCGCTTAGGCCAGCGCTTAGGGCCGTGGGAACGCTTAGCTCAGCAACCCAGTCGGTCACTCTCCTATCGCATTGCTGTGTGCTGTGAAGGGAGAGACAATGCTCCTTTTGTTCCACCTTGCACTGCCCAGATAACAAGCATAACAGCAAGACAACAGCTTTTGTGGAGAGCCTGGCAACAGCAGGGGAAACAGCTCTACAGCAGACAATATCTTTTGTAAACAGATATTAATAGCCAGATAACAGAACAGTATTTAAGTAGCTTAGTTCTCACTGTAATACCTCAGTCTCGAACTAAAGTTTATTCTCTACCATTCTATCTCGAGCAACTTGCAATTGCCTTGACTACACAACTCTGTTAACACATCAGTGAACTCAGTCAGACATACCTGAAGTGCGAGGTACCGAACTGTTTATCACGTGTTAATAGTCATGTGAAGCTTGGGCCTAACAGTCAACTGTACAAAAGTACACCATAAGTCCACTGACATCACTAACATCTGATTTTTTTTATTAAAACCAGACTCTTATGAGTTTCTGTGTTTATTATTGCTATTGAAGTACAGGTTTATCATTTCTGAAGCCCACTGCAAGAGAGATATTTTTATCTCAGATGTCTTCATTACATTTATACTATAAATATTACTCTTTAATTCATTCTTTGTATCAGTATCCTACTTGCTGTAGATATGAATTTTTCATAATTTCATCTAAATTTGAGAGAACTGAATCCTACATTCTAGTACAAGGCTGAGGTCTTTAAAACACTGTGTTATGATGACAGTTACAAGCTTCCAATATGCACTTATCTGGACCACCATCTGAAGCATCAGCTTCTACTTCAAGAAACCACACTTCACATGCACTCTCAACAGAATCTTTTATTCCCAGAGAATTTACAGAATCCTCTATCTCATGTGCTTGAGTTAGATGTCTCAACTAGGCATTCTTTCACATTTTCTAACCTAGAAGATAAAGATGAACAGCTTGGCTCTGGAGAACTTTTGAGTACTGTTTATAGAACCACTCCAGGTTTACTGTTTTCATCACAACATAATTCTTTTGGAGAATATCTGCTCGAATACATCTCTTTTCAGCTACACCTCGGCTTTTCTTAACGGTACTTCATTTACCGAGTATTAGACTCTGGACCTTCCATTCATAGTCTTCAAAGACTCGGGCGAAATGAACCCCAGCAAAAAGGCCACTCTCACGTGGAATCCCATTTATGGAGCGCTAACAAGTGGGTCATGGGTAAATGAATGAATAGCCATATGTCTCCGATGTATTACTAACGGCTAGGAAATTATGAAGATGCCACCATTGAAAGGAGACATTTAATAAGCTCAATGGGAGGATACCTCGGAGGATGCCTATAGGCAGGAACCAAGGGCAACAGAGAGTGAACAACGGCATACAGTGTCTGGGTTATAATTTCTGGATGGCGATGCTAGATTTAGTTAGAATCTGAAGGCAAAAAACGAAATCAATGATCTCATTTAGAGCCAACGACCACTGCCGAGAACTTAATAAAGTCGAAAACACCTCTTGTAATCCAGTTTCAACAAGAGATGAAAAGAGCTGGCACAGATACAGTGAGAACGAGATACAGATCCGCAGTTCGATGGGCGCCTGATAGCAAATTTGGATCGATGAAATGAATTTCCCAGTCTCACCGGGACGTCGAGCGCCAGCAGGAAAAAAGAGAACACATGGTGGAGAACCTCGGTCAGCACGAAAAGGGGCAATGTACAATTGCGGCGTGACCCGAGTACGTGGCTGAACGGGTCCAGGTCCAGGTGGAAAGAGGAAGAAACCTCCTATCACGTGGCTTGACACCGCGTCGCGCTGGCTCTTTTTAGTAGCTCCGACGCGGCAACGGTCCGAGTTGCCTGATGATTGACCGCGCATGGGATTTGCGAGTGCCGAACGCTGGTCACGCTCAACATTGCAGTATTATCTACCTACCAACTGGTGCAAGAAATTGGATTGTGAGTATATATCCCAACTATACCTCTCCCGGGAGCGTAACAAGAAGCCTCATCTTCTCGTTCCACTTACCGTCCTCCACCCATTTGATAGACTTATCTTCACATAGAGCAAATACCTCATTATTCGCTCTTGCGGGTTTATCCGCGCGCTCAACGGCTACCCTCTCATCATCAACGCGTCTAATCCATGCTTTGGCAATCTCCGCTTGAGAAGGTTCCAGTGACGGGAGGCGAAGATGCCACAGATACGTGTCCGTACCATGTGTAACGTATCCTTCCAAAAGATAATCAGTACACACAAAATAATCAACTACATGAAATCACACACCGTTCGTCCTATTCTGCTCTGGCGTCCATCGAATCTCGTATCTCAGCACAGGGAAGTCTGCATCGTGCAAATCCCTCGCGAGTATCCTCACCGGCAAGTGCACCTGATAATCAGAAGTCATCCTTCCAAACATCCTCGCGCACTCCTCTGGGGTGGCATCATCTCCCAGTATCTCGTACTGGCCCATAATCTTCTCCGCGATATCGTCCTGGTAATACCTCTCCAGATTGGGAACGATGTCTGCTGGTTTCTCGATGACGGACGAGGTGGAGTAGAAGTACCACTCGTCTGTTAGGTCTCCGAGGATAACACTACGGACGCCTTTGTCCTTGAGCGCCTTGGCGAAGGCTCCTGAGCGCTGCCATGTCATCGTATCGGTTGTTGAGGTTAGCCAGTCGTCGTCCACACATCCGCGGAAGGTGCTATTGTTTGGCCCGGCTGCTTTGCTTTCGATGGTGCGACATATTGTTTCGGCAGGAACTGCGCGAAGGTCGTCGAGGATGGTAGATGAGGTGGGGTCAAGGTGTAGGGCACGGCAGAAGGCTTGGAATTGAGGGCGCATTTCTGCTCGCGTCTTTGGGGTCAGACTGTCAGAACGATGAGATTGTTATTGCAGTTCATATAGGCGTGATTCTTACACCATGGCATTTGACATTAGATGAGCAGATTGGAATGGGGACTGGGCGCCCTCGGGAAGATGGGAAACGTGATGTAGATTCTGATGAACGGCATGGGCGCCTTTAAATCGGTCTGTTAGACCAATGAGCTCCTTTAATAATCAATGCCGTACCTCCCGATAATCCGACGAGCTGGACGTCTTCCGGGTTTCCTGTCCGCGAGTGAGTGATGAGGTTATTATGCGAGCTCAGCTACTCGTACCTCCAAAAACGCTGATATTGTCCCTCACCCACTCTAGCGCGACCCACTGGTCTTTGAAACCAAAATTTCCCTTCACCAAGGGCTCATCACACGCCAGGAATCCAAAGGCGGAGAGGCGGTAACCGACGTTTACCCACACCTCCGAACGGTCTGCAGCCACGAATTGGTTTTGATACGTTATACGATGTGGAGAACTGTATTGCAGGAACCTTTCTTGCCAACTGAGAGGATCAGCTGAATATTGTAGATGAGGCTCTTACCCTCCATGCAAGTATACCTTGACTGGGAATCCTTTCTGAGACGGGAAAGACGACGGAACGAAGATGTTCACGAAGAGACTAGAGATTATTCACTCATCTCATGGAAGGGGTCGAAAAGAACAATGGGACACACGGATTCTCGGAGGGTTTTCCGTAGCCCACTTGATCGACATGGTAACTCCCGGCGGCCGCTTGGCCGTCTCTTCTTGGCTGAAATGCCCCTGTAGAAGTGTCACGTCCGTATCAATGAAGACGTGTATACACTAGCTGCTCACAGGTATCCTCCGTGATGTACTCCTTCTTCTCGTACTTGTAGTCCAATGGAAGTGGTTCCGGATCCATGAATCGTCCAGGTGGTAGCGCATAGGGCACCTCTGAAAGTTCATACACGATAAACTGTACGCCATCGTGAGATGAACGTTGATTCTCACCTAAGAACGTGGCTGTCCCATTCTTCGCTCGACCACCGGTCACACTACCGTATTTGGTGTCTACAACGACACGTTCGGGATTGGCAGCAAGCTCATCGTGTATGTGGGGGACCGATGCCATGAAGGAAAGTGTTCGACGAGGCCACGGACCGATGAATATATATCGATATTCGGGGCACGCTCCCCGGAAATAGATCGGATTTTGGAAAGATAGCTTGATAGGTTATTCAAACGCGATTTCTAGCACTGATTGCTATTTACTGGACCCTGGCGTATATTTCTGTCACTACCATCAGGGTGGAAGAAGGCAGGGATTAGCTTTCCTGAAAACAAAGGTTGGCGGGAACATTGACAAAGCTATTATTCACTCACGTATTCTATGTTTGCCTCGGGCAACTATAGCAGCATGACTCTCGTGATAAGCATGGTATCCGGACCTGGATCTTCTGGGGATAAGATACGAATTCGAAAAAATAGGCAGGCAGTTCCGCGAAGTCGGCAACTGAATGTAGCATCGAGAATTTATTGAACAGGTAATTATGCGAGATCAAGAGTGTAGCCCATCACTGCTGCTAGCTACTTTCTGGACCAAACGCGTCGGGAACCTGGTCACTGGTCAGGTTGAGGTCGGCGATGTCGGTCCGACCGTCCCTCGCGTCACATCGGTAACGTCGTATCACGGTCACAAAAATCCTTTCCTCCTGCTCCCCATTGTCGTCGTTCACGACGGCGGTCGTGCTTGGGATGCTCCACTTTCCTTCTACACGCATGAACGGTGGGACCAATGCCACCAACAGGCGTTTGGATGGCTTGAACGCAACGCAGCAAAAATCCTCTTCGGATCCGTTATTTCTTGCTATCGAGGAAGAACTACATGATACTCGACGCGTGCATGCAGACGGGCAGGAGGACGATTTGCGCCTGGCGCTGAGTATGGTTATTACCCGGGTTACTGAACTGGTGAGTACTCTGGATGTTGACGATGCGCCCAATACTGATCTACAGTAATCTCAGTCAACACTCCTTAGCGAAGCCTACAAGACCCAGGCAGACCTCGAGGTCCAGCTAAACGTCACCAAATCAAATCTGAAGCTCGTCATTGCCAACAACGAGATGCTCGAGGAGGCATTGAAGCAAGGTCATGCGAACGACATTGGGTGGAGAAGGTCGAGCAGTTCGGACCACCGGCAGAAGAGCCAGAGCATTGATATCGTACCGGAGAATGGCGTGGCGATGAAATCTCTGTCGAGCTCGCCTTCGTTGCCGTCCTTAGCAGGCACACCGCCGCCACCACCACCACCACCACAGCAACAGGACAGCAGGTTCTTTTATAAGTTCCGGTTCACCTCCTCCAGTTCCGCGTCGCGCGCGTCCAGTCGACCTGGGACACCGAATCTCGGGCATGGCCCATCATCGCCTAATCCGACGCTCACGTCACCGTCGATGCCCAGTCTACCTGTAATGGCGAGTGTGAATGCCAGCAAAGACAAGGAAATGGAAGAGCTGATGGCGTCGCTAGAGAAGGAACGGGTGGCGCATAAGGTCGTTGTTCGCGAAAAGGCGGCGCTGGAGGCAGAGCTCGAGTCGTTATCTCAGGCCCTATTCGAAGAGGTGAGTTCTCTTTTTTGATCTGCTATAATTATTACTGATGATCATGATGGCAGGCGAACAAGATGGTGGCGACGGAAAGGATCAAGCTGGCTGAGACAGAGGAAGAGCTGAGGGAAGCCAGGCAAGAGAAGGAGGCTCTCAAGAGCGCCTTGAGGGTCGTGGAAGGGGAGAATGTCCATTTGCGGGGCTCTTCATCCAGTTTTAGGACGCCAGATCCATCGATGGAGAACCTCGCACTATCAGAGACTCGCTCGCGATCTTCTTCAGAGGTTGGTGTAAAGTCGCGACCAGCTTCTGCATCGTCGCTATCGTCGCCATCCGTGTCCAGAGAGACGTTCTCGCCGGTCTTAACCGCCGAGATAGGCCCTGCTGCAGCAGGGGATGGAGAGGAGCTGGCGGAAGAGAACCCTACCCCCCAACATCGGAGTACGGTCCCATCGCCGTCACTTATCGAATCGTCGTCGCTTTCGCAATGGGCGGAGGAGAGAATGATCCGATACCCAGACAAGGAGGAAGAAGCTGAAGAAACACTGCGTCAGCGTAAGCCGTCGCCGCCATGGGACGAAGGGTCTTCTCCCTGGGCAGATGTGCCTTCTTCCGATACCCGCACACGATTGTCCACATCTTCCCCGTTACTACCTATCTCGCCGCATTGATACAAGCTTTTTTCAATCAATCTCACTTTGGCATGCCATTCGGGACTATTCATCCCTCTCGTACTGCTCTACCTGCATTTTCGTTGACGTCAATGTATTTATAGCAAGTCTGTTGTACTGCAATCTCTTTTTTATTAGGGGAAATCGGAATACCTATGCACGCTTGTCGTGCAGTTTGGACGACTGTTGAAAGTGGTCCTGATATCCAGACAGTTTGCGACGGTTTCGCTTACTTTTACGACGGACTTCTGCGCTGACGCATGGGATGTAGCTCTACATGGCTGCTACAGCTACAGAAATGAAATGCCTTCGCGCTAGATGGATTCCAGGCAATGGTCAACAGAAACAAGTACCTAGGTTAGGGTTACTTGATGAAGCCCAAGCCAGGCACCGGGCCCTTCATAGGCCTACTGCAGATGTAGAAGCTGCATCTCTTGTCTTAACTGGATTGGATTGTTCGTCAACGTCGCCTTAGTACCAGTGCGGCTATTGGCCCGTCAATCGTCATCATATCTATCTTCATGAAGGACAAGACGCAAAACCACGCAATCCCTTTGATGCCCTACTTGTTGATAGTCCCTGCCGTCACTGCACCAGCATATGTGCAAAGATTTAACAATGGACAGGTGGTTTTAGAACCCGATACGGGCTCGGAGGTATCCCAGTCCGTAAAGGTATAGGTGCGAAAGAATGGCGATACGTTCCACCTCGTCTTCATCTGCCACATCATCTGCATCGATAAATCGACATAGATTGACCTCATTCACGAGCCGAACGGGAGGCGATTGGGCATGAGCAAGCGTCCATCATTCGAAAAGTGGGTAATCTGCGTCCACGGAAGGCAAAAGAAGTGCGACAACACGCGGAACTTCGACAACATGAAGCCGGCGGAGTAGCGGGCAGAGAAACAAAACCAGGTCTTCGTAGTCATCAATGGCTTCTCCATCCGTGGGAAAAAGACACGGGCTTTTCAAAGATGGCAATGAAAAACGCAGTGATGGGATGGCACAGAAAATCTCGGATGCGAGGTATTGGACGACTATAGTCCCGGGAATGACAGCGCTACTGTCCTCCACTGCTTTCATACCATCTCAGGCGACCAAAGAGTGATTTCAGCGGGATGAAAGTCCCAGCGGTCACCTCGTACGGTACGAAATGGGGGAAGTCAATAGTCGAGCGGAAGATACGAAGAAGTATTTCTGCGGGGAACTGTCTAATTGGATGAAGGAGCTGCTTCCATTTGATTTTGGCGTCGGAAATGCGCTGTCTTTCCTGACAGAGAGTGTCCACTTTTTGCTGAGCAAGCGAGATACGGTTTTTCATGTCGGAAATAAACTGTGCCAAACGAGATTTCTCCGTGTCCATATCCTGGATCTTTGTCTCATATGAGGATATCATTCCGCAAATCGGAGCGACCTGGCTCTCCATAGGTTCGTCATTCGAATGGGTAAGACACGCCAAATTTCCGTCATTGAGAGTGTAGTGAGTAGGAGTAAAGTCGTGAGAGGGTAAATTGTGATTGGGGCATGTTCACCTCGTGCAAGGTGTCCAGTTCAAAGGAGGTCCCGTCATACTGGACGTCTTGCTTTCAGTCAGCAGTCAGAAGGGACGAACGCAAAAAGAACTGAGAATGGATCGGGATCGGTAAACAGGCTGATGATGCAGAGTCCCGTCATTCCCTACAACAGTTTTCCTGCGTAGCGTAATTATGGCAGCTTTTGTTGGAGGATATCCGTACGTTTCATCTTATCTTACTTTTGATCACTCGCTCTATTTGCCTTATATATACTTACACCTCCTGTCGTTTCCCGATCACCTATATAGTCCAGCCGTTCCTATCTGTATGCCTCAGTCGCTTCACCCACGTTGTGCCCGACTGAGATACTCACATATATTCTTCTGTCAATAGCTTTGGTATACCTTATGATTGATGAAGAGATAGAGTTGGACTGTGGTAACTGGTTGTTTACAATTTAGATTATTTAGTTTAATATATTAATTACTATCCCCGGCACGTGAATTCTGCGTGACTTCGGAAACACAGATATGAACTTAGCTTGGGCCTTGACTTGACCTTGACTTTACCTCAGAGACAACCAAGTTGCCCCATAACCCCCCTTTGGACGTAATAAATTTATTGTGAGGGATGATTAGACTTCGCATCGTTCGCGTCTACTGACTCGGATCCTTTCTTAGACTGTTTTTTTTGCGCCACGCGGACCGAATCGAAACGACCATTATGACGGAAATTCCACTTAACTGGTCACCTTGCACAGGATGCACATGTCCCAATCACAATTTACCATCCCGCAACTTTTCTCCTAATCGCCACACTCTCGATGACCCGAATTTGTCACGTCTTATGTGTTCGAATGACGAACCTATCGAGAGCGAGGTTGCTACACTTCATGCAATGACAGCCTCCTATGAGGCAGAGATACAGGATATCAATGCAGAGGAATCACGTTTGGCACAATTCATCTCCTACATGAAAAATCGCATCTCACTTGCTGAGCAAAAAGCGAAAGCTCTTTGTCAAGAAAGACAACGCATTTCCGAAGCTATAATCGAAAAGAAGAGACTCTTTCATCCCATTAGACGCCTTTCCGCGGAGATACTTCTTCGTATCTTCCGCTCGACGATTGATTTCCCTATATCGCGGACTTTTTCAGAGGAGAATGACCAATGGGAATTTCATCCCAGTGACAGCATGCTCTGGTCTATTGAGATGGTATGCAGGCGGTGGAGCGTAGTATCACTCTCCTTCCCAGAACTTTGGTCGTTCGTGAATGTGGTGATCACCGACTCAAACTTCGGAGAAGATTACCATGGAATTGCATATGTTCGGCGGCTTGGCATGCAGCTGGCTCGTTCAAAGCTGCATCGTTTATCGCTATCGATTTTGAACGATTACAGTCACTCGTCATTCAACAGTCTGCCCCCAGCCCTGGTGGCCATTCTATTTGCCATTTCCGGCCGTGTGGACTGTCTCCATCTCTATCTCCCTGCCATCATGTTTTCAAAAATCCCATCGCTACATCTGCCTATGCCATCATTGACAAACTTGTGTCTGATTGCTATGGACGGAGAAGCAACCGATGACTATCATGACATGGATTTATTCCATTGTCCACTGCTTCGTGAACTGCATGTCGTTGATATATTCAATGTTTCCGGCTCGTTTGCTCTTCCGTGGGCACAAATCACTACCTTCACACATGATCATGCTCGGTATGAAATCCTGGTGCATGGTCCTGATCCCTCGTCTCTTCTGATTGCAATGGAAAAGCTTATAGCACTGGAGATATGCAAGTTAAGACTGCAACTGCCGACTCCCGATAGTCAGTTTACCGGGGGAATCTATCCATTATCTTGTTCCAACCTTAGCGTGCTGGACCTCTCATCTTGGGGATCCGAGATGCCGATAGAACAGCTTGTGGAGAGGCTGACACTTCCCGCCTTGACAGAGCTTCGAGTTTCTTGTTCTTCAGGCCACCCTTACCATGATTCCGATGTCACGTTCGCCGCCATCCGCGGACTGCTTGAACGCTCTGGACCACCTCCTATCACCGTTTTTCACTTTGATCACGGCAACATACGAGAGGACGACTTGTTGTACATCGTCCGTTCATGCTCAACCCTCGAGGTTGTCCATATCACAGATGTCAATGGAGACGCCATGACGGATCAGACACACCTCCTGTTGACGCTGAAGGTCGATGAAGCTACTCCTTTGCTTCCGCACCTGCATACATTGTATATAAGCGGTACGATGTCGTTTAGTATGCAGACATTCGTCGATATGGTAGAATCCCGATGGACGCTTGCTCATGCCCAATCGCCTCCAGTTCGGCGCTTGGATAAGGTCAATCTATGCCGATTCCTTGATTGGGGGGAGGAGCCGGACGAAGACGAAATCACTGTCCTTTCTGCCCTTGATGTCTACAAGTCGCAAGGATTGGACGTGACATTTGGTACAAAGGCGCACAGGTTTTCATCGCTACACGGTCCGCGAGCACTCGCTCATTAAAGTGTTCATTTCATTATCGCGTAGCACGCTACGGCACCATCGAAGATTATAGAATTAAAAGTCAACGAGATGTTGTTACGATCATATCTACGAATTGTTCTTTAAAAAAAGACAAAAAAAAATCAAGCGCTAGGTCCGATTACGATTGGCTTAACTTTGGAAAGCTGGCTGATGGTCTCATTGTCCAAGTTCAAATGGGCTTGGACCAGTGCGGGAGGTGTCAATGCCAACCACTGGAGACTTCCGTCAGATAGGTTTGACCCCAAGGCAATTTTTTCTCACCTGATTAAGGCTGATGTCCTGGAAACGATCTGAGAGAGCACGAGGTTAGTTTTATCCCTCGAGGCAGAGATGCTCGAAGACACCCACCCGACTTGAAGACCTCTAAATACTTTAAAGTCGTATTTCCAGTGTTTTCGACGTAGTGGCCTGGTTCAGCGAAGTTGAGAATTGAGCAGCAAGTGAACAGGTATCAACTACTCACCGTAGGCTGTCGGAACGTAGCCTGTCCCAGAGGGTTAATGGCCATATAACGGGAATAGCACAAAAGGCAACTAACCGATATCGCCAGGCTGATAATTGAATGTCCCAGCAGTACCTTCCGATGCGAAGATAGTCATTCTTCCCGTACCCTCACTAGAAGGATGTCAGATGGAGTCTACAAAGATGCGAAATAAACACATGCATGAAGAAGCTCCATTCATCCATCGTGGGATGCCAGTGTAGCTCCCTATAATTCCATCAGTGGACAGAAATTCGACGATGCAATAAACCATATCACACCGCATCGCGCCGGGATTAACGGTGACCTCAGCCATGGCGATAGTCGTAGAGACAGTGAATGTCGTAGAATCCACAATCTTAACAGACCCACCCGAAAGCTGAGTTGCATTGATTTGAGAGAGCGGGAAAGAGAAGGGATTAGGGACCGTCCCTTGGGGATCTTCCGGAGCAGTTGCATCGTCGGGAGGGACCTCTGCAGATATATCACTCAGCTTTATTTCAGGGGGCACCGGAAGAGAACGAACCACTCGGGAAGATGTAGAGCTCATGTGCAGGGATGTGCGCGAACGCGTCCGGGTTACTGACCTGAAAGTTCTTTTGGATGACTAGGGATCAAGGTATCTTTTCGTCAGCGAAGGAATGGGTCAGATGACCGAGAAAGTGCACCTTCGTACGGAACGTGTTCCAGCCAGTCAGTCAACTGCATTCCTTCATTATTAACCGGTAACCCTGCTCGGGTGTATGATCCGACTTACCAGGAATGTTCCGTCTTCATTGAAATCTCCGTTATCAAATACCTGCGTTATGTTCAGAGAGATGTTGGCAGGTTACACAATAGAACCTACTAGAAGAAACTCGGATCCTTCTTCATCGTCTCCGGTGGCCTGTAGAGAGTGGGGAACACCTGGAGGGAAGTACCATAAATCACCGGGATGCTAAAGCGTTTTCAGAAAAACTAATAGTACGAATTGAATAGGGCATACCACCGTAGCAAGGTAGTTCCGCCCATCCGCGTCGACTGCCGTGATTTGCGTGGATCCCTTTGAGAGAAGATGTTGGAAGATGACAACTTACGATACAATTGGAGATATCTACCTTCAACACGTACGCCCACTGGTATTGATTATGTCAGACGAGCTCGACATGAGTAGACTAAAAATCGCATACCTCTGATGTCGTGTGCCAATGCAATTCGCTATGAGTCTCGTATAAGCCACAGGTATACCAAATCCAGAGGCACTTGCCGAATTGCTCCCGGTTCGAGTCGCATGTCTACGCTGGCCATTTCTGCGAACAGGATTATGTGAACTTGCGGCATCATAGGTCACCAGTTTACTCACGAGTAGCGACGGGCATGACCTGAACTAGAGTAAATTACGTTAGTCTGTTGTCATTTGACGAGAGGTCAATAAGCAATAGCTTACTGTTCTCTTGACGGGCCCATCCCCCCGTTTGTAAACGAGTATGACTGAGGGCGAACAGCCATTTGGAATTGGGACTGTACAATGGCAAAGGCGGGTCAGGAAAAGGACGGAGAATGAGAAATAGAATTCACTGACATCGTTCCAGCATCAGTGGTCGGTGGGGCAAAGAGGTCGGGATTTTGCAGATCAAGCGGAATGTTATCTGGTCCAATAATGGGGGCACCGAGCGTTCCACGCTCAGGAGTGACTACAGAAGGGTCGCTAGTGTCGTTCCACAAGACATAGTTAGGGTCAGTGGAGATGAATCCGGCAGTGGTCGTTTCTTCGAAGGAAGTATCTGTCGAAGTCGGAACGGCGGTGTTCAACGGAGCCTCAATGGAAGATGTAGTAACACTGGCGTCGGTTGAGGAGGAATTATGGCTTGTAGGAGCGCCACCAACGAATTTCGTAAGGAGAATAATTAATAGAATGGAGGAGACTTTGATCATGATGAACGTCTTAGAGAGTTGGACTTCTGAGACGAATGGAACCAGACATGCTCGATTCCTTTAATACTGTCCATGTAACATCTCTCTCTCCGAGTTACAAATCGCCGAGTCATTCAGTCCTCGGGGATGACCGGGTGTCAGCTACAGCCCTAGAGTACATTTCAGATGAACAAGAAAGGTAAAACGAAGGATCGCTCACGTCACGTCTTCATTTTTCATCCATTGCCGGGGTGACAAGGAACTTATGGTACGGACCTCAATAAAAAATAGCTAAACAGCGTAAGGTCTGATGCATTGATATCCCAACAGTGCCTCTGTTCAGCATGAAAGCCATAGCGCCCTGTCAGGTGCCTGCAAGGGACCTACTGCTCTGCATAATGGTACCCGTAGAGGGCAAGTTGGCTTCTAGAGGTCGTCAGTAGGGCGAAAGAAATTATTTTTCGGCTCAATAAACATCCGCTAGCATGGATATAACCGCCATCAGCGGGAAACTGCCAATAAAGTGGACTTCTAGAGTTAAAGAAATGTATATTTAGCGCAAAATCATCACGAACAAAAATAGATCACGCCACACGTTTAAAAATAGCCATCTCTCGAGGAAAAATCCAGCGTTGAGTACCTTCCTCATAGAATAAGGAGGAATAATGTGCATAAGATTAGAGGTGTTCCGGGCATAAGACTGTAAAATTCTGAATGCATCCTTCAAGGCCATGGACAACTTTGATGTACCGGGGGGTCTCCACAACCTTAACTTCTAAAATGCGACCGGCGACAAAGATAGCTGACTGAACACATGCGATGAGAATCTATTAGAACAATTATCCGTTGTATAGGGAAATCCGACCTCTGCGGAACGCGCTTGTCGTCTGAAGGGCATGTTTCCAGATTGACCCGAGCTTATAACAACTTCAGAGGAGCTGCGGTTGAACCTGCACGATGATACGGTAGTATAAATAGGCGCAGTCGCATTAGCTGTCCGATTCTGCACGATAGACCTTATCATTAGTAAGGCTACGTCCGTGCGAGATACTTCAATGACGTACGAATGATATCTGAAAGTAAGATATCAAAATTCACATTTGGAGTTAAGTCCTGTAATGGCGGAGAATTCGGTGAGCTTCGAAAAGAGGTGGAAGAACCCACGCTTCCCCAAGTGATCACATGGATCGCTAGGTGGGCAAAGAACGCCTATGATACTGCGCAGTGAATAGTAATTCGCAGAGATACTGGCCCCCTTGTTCACGAGTCGGTACAACTGTTAAATATCGCTCCATCGTTAACCGCGGAAATAGGACACGCATTTAGTGTCTACCTGTAAAAATGGGCCCAGGAAATGCTGAGTAAGAATGACCTATGTGATCTTTTGCAGCCGGCATGGAATCACTTACTAGGTGTCGATTCTCGAATTGGATTCGCATTTATAGTATATACATTGGCATTACATGAGTCACTTTCTGGATGAAATCTGGACATTTACTACGATGAAGGGCTATGAAAACAGTTTCCGGTGATCATGGAGCACTCGGACCGGTCTGCTGAAGTCTATCTCAAGGCTCAGGCTCTTAGTGAACTAAGATGCGAAGTTGCTGATTCGATGTCATTCCACTAGTACATGTATGTATTTGGTAACGATGCATGTTCAGAGTCATCCAATCTACTTATAAAACTAAAGTCTTTCAAATTTTTACTTGAAATCCCAGATATGTCTTAAGACTAAAGAGATCAGGCGCCGGGTCCGATTACGACTGGCTTGACTTTGGATAGCTGGCTGATCGTCGCATCGTCTATGTTTAAATGCGCCTTCACGATTGCGGGAGGAGTCAAGGCCAACCACTAGAAGCGTTTGTCAGATTTTGGAGACAATGTTCGAACGATTATTCCTCACCTGATTGAGACTAATGTCTTCAAACCGATCTAAGAAGACACGCAGTTAGGTTGAAGACCTAGTCCTCAGTGCAACTATTTGTGAAGATACTCACCGGACTTGAAAATTTCCAGGAACTTCATCGTCGTATTACCAGTGTTCTCGACGTAGTGTCCTGACCAAATGTAGTAAGAAACGACGAGCAAGCAACAAAGGGCAATTTACCGTAGGCAGCAGGGACATACCCTATTTTCCGGGCGTTCAGTCAGACAATGAAGTATTCGAAAGAATGGAAGGCTAACCGATATCACCGGGCTGGTAGTTGAATGTCCTAGCAGTACCTTGAGATGCAAAAATGGTCACTCTTGCTGTGCCCTCGCTAAACGAAAATCAGAACAGAAATGCATCAATACACACCACACACATGAAGAAGCTCCATTCGTCCATGGTCGGATGCCAGTGCAGTTCCCTGAGAGACCACGTTTCAGTTAAAATAGTTCTATATTGGAGGAAAGACAGAAATACCGCATCGCTCCGGGCTCGACCGTAACTTCCGCCACGGCAATAGTAGTCGAGACTGTAAAGGACGTAGAATCCACAATTTTGACCGAACCTCCGGAAGATTGAGTAGCGTTGGCCTTGGACAGAGCGAACGAATAAGGGTTAGGGACGGTTCCTTGGGGGCTTTCCGGGGCTGAGGCGTCGTCCTCCGGGACCGCTGCATTGGACTAATCCAGAGTACACTCGAGAGCAATATAGATGATTACGTACTGCTCGGGAAAATGTAGAGCTCCTCCTTGGGGATGTGTGCAAACGCGTCCGAGTTGTCGATCTGGAAGTTCTTCTGGATGACTACGAAATGAAGGAATCGGTTAGCCAAAACGAGGTCACGAGGAAACGCACGCTTACCTTCATAGGGAACGTGGCTTAGCCAATCAGTCAACTAGAATTACAGAGTTAGCTCTGAACACGCTGATGTGAACAATTTACCAGGAACGTTGAGTCTTCGCTGAAATCTCCGTCATCAAATACCTGCGGTGTGATTAGAAAAGGCCGGGAACAACTGATCCAGAACGGATATATACCAAAAGAAACTCAGAGCCTTCTTCATCATCTCCAGTCGCTTGAAGAGAGTGGGGAATACCAGCAGGGAAGTACCACAAGTCACCAGGTCCCTGAGAGGCTCAATGAGATGGATAACGGGCGTTTATAAGGGACCCGTACCACAGTGGCGAGGTAGTTTCGTCCTTCCGTATCGACTGCGGTAATTTGCGTGGATCCCTTGGACAGAAGATGTCAGGCTTGCTAGTGATCCCCATTACATTTATGTTACTTACCTTCAGAACATACGCCCACTGTTTTTTGGCCATCAGATGCCGATGAATGTATCCTAATCAGACATCACTTGCCTCTGCGGTCTTGTGCCAGTGCAATTCGCTGGAAGATACATGTCAGCCCGATTTACGTATCAATGGGGTAAACGTACCGAATTGCGCCTGCTTCGAGTCGCATGTTGACGCCGGCCATTTCTACGAACTAGTGAATTTCATGCAAGACGATGATGGGCCACCACTCTGCTCACCCGTTGCGATGGGCATAACACCGACTACGATAAAGTATGTTGGTATCACAGAATCAACCGATGGATTTCGGGCGATGGCTTACTATTCTCTTGACGGGCCCATCCTCCCGTCTGCAAACGGTTATGACTGAGGGCGAAGGGCCACTTGGCGTTAGAACTATTATTAAAGATTCAGAAAGTCCTCTAAAAAGTAAAACTAAAACACAACGGACACAGTACCGGAGTCCGTGGTCGGTGGGGCAAGAAAGTCGGGATTTTGTAGGTCAGTCGGTATGTTATCCGGTCCAATGACCGAAGCTCCAAGTTTACCGCGTTCGGCGGTGACTATTGAAGGGTTGCTCTCCTCATTCCATAGAACGCCATTGGGGTCAGTAGAGATGAACTCGACAGTCGCTGTTGCTTCCAAGGCACTATCTGTGTTGCTCGCGATGGTCGTACCAGAGGTGGACGGAGTGGCGGCGGTGGCATCAGATACTGACATGTCGACGGGTGCTGGTGCGGACGCAACAATCTTCGCGAGGAGAAGGATCCACAGAAAAGAAGCGACTTTAGACATGGTGAACGCGTCTGAGGAAGGCTGGGGCTTCGAGATGGATATCTCTCAACAAGAGACCTTTTATACCGTCAGCGGTAGCTTTGCGGGGCGTCAGGCATCTGCCTTCTGAATCGCGCCTTCGGGGATTAACGGGCTGTAACCGAACTTCGCACTGTTAGGAAGGCTGTTGGAAGTAATCACGTCAAAGATTCATTCCTTACCCAGCAGCATGGTGGAATAGTGCTCATCCATAAAGCAAGCGAGAAATCATGATGATCACTGGGCAACTGCGCACCCAGTTACTTACGAAACATAAAGGCCAGGCGACTACGGACATCAGCAATGAACGAAATTTCTCAGACTCGCCTGAAAACCGTCGGTCATATTAGATGAATAATAGCCGTCAGTGAGCGCCATTGGAATCGAGACCCGAGATGTTTTTGTCCAGGTGCTTAAAATGGATCATGGGAGAAGGAAAGAGCTTTGAACAAGCCATTGTTATCCTACTCATAAAAGACTTTGGAGCCAAAACATACTGTAAAAGCCGGCGTGATTCATGTGATGAGTAGCTTTAGGCGGGGCGGATGCACAAAGAGTATGGGCCAATGGAAGGGAAGCCTGCACCCGCGAAGCACCCGCGGAAGTACGGCAGTCAGCCAGGGTCCACATTGGGAGAGAGCGGCATAAATGAGTTCTAAGAGAACATGTAGTATGGGCTGTTTGCATGACTTGCTGAATTATTATTCCAGCAGAAATGTATAGCCGCCCCGCCTGGAAGGCATAAGGGAGGCTCTGTGTGTGTGATTGCAGCGCAGATGATCCTAGACTTATCCGGAACAATTGAGAAGTCAACCTCTGGCGAATCCATCCATGCCCACCTGCTTACTGCCGATGACAGAGGGCACATTGCCGCCATCCTTACCCAGAAGCGATCTATTTTTAGGTCGAAGTGCCGGTCTGCCCTATGAAACAGCATCAGGAATTGATCACATACGCTAGTGACTCATAGTGAATCAGGTACCTTCATCAAGTATCAGCATGGTCTTACCCTAGACTTACATGCTGCAAGGAAATGGCGCAGTCTCTGAAATAAGAAATATTTGCAAGAGAAGCGGCAGAAACGCGCCTTCAAACAACAGTAGTCAGCCCAAAGAATCTAGCGCTTGGAAAATATCTCATCTACAATATCAAGAGCTGAGTTGATCGAAATGACTCATCATTTCGTAGCCAACGGTGCTGTTTTTCCCGATGGCTCGCATATTCGGATAGATGAGTAACGAATATCTAGGAAGCTATTGTTTAGTTTCCAAATGGCGAATCCCATCTCCCTGTGTAGTATCCTCTTTCCATGTTGGAACGTTGGCGGCCCTGTGCCAACTGCCGTCGCCGTCGACTCCACTAGCCTGCCGCAGCGTAAGTTGACGAAGATAATTGGACAACACCATCAGAATGCGAAGCCTCAGGCATATAGTCACTTAAAGAATCTTGGTATTCTGAGCCAAGTTCATTTGATTCACAGTGGAAAAGAGACGCGCGGTATTTATCCATGTTTATCGCAGTTCCCCTGTTCGGACCGAAGAAGCCGTGGACACAGTCCACCGACGCGAGTGCACACCGTTGGTCGTAAACTCCGGGAGACGATGGGGGAAAGGTTAGAACTGGGAAATCCTCTGTCAACTGCCCTAAACATTCACGTGACCGTCCTCAATCTTCTTTGGAGCTGTATTCCGGGTATGTTTGCAGTCTTTCGAAGTGACGGTGATACATTGAGATTTATTCGTTTGTGGTTACTCTGTAAGTACATTTGTTGCTGTTTGGGCTCTGGTGTGAAGATAGCCCGACGGAAAGGCCTTGGCAAGGCCTTGGCAGTGCCCTGCAGGACGAGAACAGGGGTTCGAATCCCCGCGCGTCCTTCTGGAAGTTTTCGGATTTTTTTGCCCCAGCCCTACCCATCGTGCTGATAAAATGAATGCTTATGCGTCTTGACCCTGATGGAGCGATAATAGAAGGGAACAAATGGAAAAGTCAGACTTTCTAGGACTATCTTAAAACTTGACAATGTGAAGGCTGCGGCGATTTTACTATATCCGTTCTCCTTGACTTCGAAGCTTCGACAGGTTCTATTTTCTGACTCATTGACGCATGCAGGGGATGACCAGAAGATGGGAAGCACATCTGGGAGCATCTTAGGAATAGTATAATTTCTTCGCCTTCCATCGCTGATATTATCTTCGCCATCGGGATTTACAAACAAGTAACTGAGATAATACATGTCCTTAGTTTTACTTTCCTTGGATTCTGAAGCTCTTTATCAATCGGACTCGGAACGAGTATAAAAATGATGTTCCGATTTGGAGATGTCAAGAATCGATTCATCGCATGTTTGAGCGCCACTGATAATGGACAGCGGTACAGTGCCGGTCATCTGCAGGAACAGTCGAGCTGATGTCACTCAAAGTGATGAGAAGACACATACGTTTTCTTCGCCTTGGACCCTGAACGTAGGTAAGGAGACAGAACCAAAAGGTTCCTGTCGACGGCTTCGTTCTCGTGTGTTGAACCTATAAGACAGTTTGGCATACCAGCCATTCCCAGGAATCCAAGGATCCTTACATAGCCAATAAAGAATTAATGTATACTGCGCTAAATTTCAGACGAAAAGACCTTTCTTTGTAAGAAAAGAGACTGACGTTTGGGTACAACGATTCCGATTGACATGAAAATGAGCGTTCTGGGAAAGGCAAGAAACTGCGAAGGAATCTGATCTCAACGTCTGTTAGCCATTCAATTAGATTGGGACAGTACCGTGATTAGAGAAGCCAAGACCAGTGCACTGGAATAGCATAAGTTCTCCAGAGGGTTCGTTCTCTGACATGAAAGTAGAGTCTTTACCTTGTACCGAGTCCAGAAATTAGGATAAACCACATCAAGGCAACGAGTTTGAGGTTCATACTAGAGTATTCTTAGTTCCTCCTCGTTATCTGAGGCATTACGACTAAACTTGCCTGGAGACGCCCACAAATGTTCGTGCCTTGAGAATGTAGTAGCACAGTGCGAAAGAAATGATCATGTCCACGGTTGCTGTTATGATAAGTCCTCCCTCGATCGTTGCCTAATGGTAGCTAGAATTAGTACATGTACATGGCAGTGTAATTCCCACATACAGAAATTTTGTCAATTTCAATGATATACGATATCGTATACCTGGCCAAAAAGGAAGGAGTTCAATCGACATCCTCCACCAGTTTCCGATCCCTTACACGTCATGGCAGAAAACTGAAACATATCGTTAGCGCGGGGAGGAGTACATAGCTGGGATACGGACCAATCGAAGCGGCTGAGAGCGACAGGGTGTCAGAGCTTTTACCACCGAACGATCCGAGGAAGCGTACCGCAGATACAAGCTACAATGAATGTCTAGGTGAAATTGGGATGGTTATTGACACTAATTATTCGAGATAAAATATACATACGATAAACCATGGTACCGCACGATGGAAATAACGCCCTACTGAATCATTGTTAGCTGATCATATCAAAGAGAAATAGAGAAATGGACATTACTTACGCATCCATAACCGTACACAGTATATGCTGGAGTATGCATTGAGTATAGCTGATCAATCTCCAGGCGTTCGACATACATATGGACACAGAAGACAATCATGTTCTGTGCGAGGTGAGTAAGAAGACTTGAATGTAATGGAGGCCAATCACTCACGTAGAGCACCAAGCTTAACTGATTTGAAACAATGGTCTGTAACATTCGAAAGGCACCTCGATGCGCTTACCTTGAAGCTCCTAACCGCCAGCCGGAGGTTAGATCCTCGAACCACAGAGAGATAATACGTACCACACGAAATTTAAGAGCGCGAGGTAATCTCCGAACGAATTGATTGTATAATAGTATAAGGCGTGCGTGCTGAAGGCAACATGCAAAGTATCGAGCACCCTTGATATGATGCAATTAACTCGTGAGCGGACATTGTCTGGGAGATTTAATTACCAGATCGTCGCAACCTATTGAGAAAACTCAGTTCAAGTTGTATCTGCGGTGAAAGTGGTTGCCTACTCACTGAAAGGCGATAGAACCACCAGTCGTTCGGATATTCTTTGAAATATATAATTGTTTGGAGATTCGCCGTTCCATATAATCTAGAGCTGATGAGGAAAGTTTATTTAACCACGAGCCGTTATAACGACTTACATTAAAGCTATGGTTACACCAACGGACATTACGCCCAGAGTTGAACCTAATGATGGTAGAGCTAGGGCTGCTTCCGCAGCGAACGAAGACGGCATGCCTGACACGATGGAATAAGGGGTGGCCCTAGGTCACTTATAACGGGTCTCATGGGCTTCCCACAAACTGTCAAGAATGGAGAAGACTACGACCGGAACCAGTCATGGACAATTATCATAATTATGGGCAAGAACCCGCTTATCATTTGCCATCAGAAGATCAACCGAGCACAGCTTACCGACATTATCGGAATGCGAAACATTGACGAGAAACTATGCGTGGGCCGGTCCATCCCTGCGGTTTAGGAGCATCATCATGATACTCTGGCTTCATGAGAGATATTATTTCGACTCCAATTTGAGCGCTGCTCTGGTGAAGACACCAGAGCCATGACGCTGGTATGCAGGCATATCTGTTATTTGGCTCTAGCTTCTGTCCGAGAAGACCAAAGAGAAGATCAGCGTCTCATAGAGATTGTCCCAGGTATCATTTTTTACCTAGGTCTTACTGACACAGGTCCACGGAAGTATTAATAGCTGAATTCTGCCTGAGATTATCTTCGCAGAGAAGGAAGGCAAGAATCACTTAAAGCAATTCAAAGCGCTGTCGGTGAAAGATCGAGTAATTCAAGTAGTTATAATATCTATGGTCTCAGCGGACTAGAGTAGAATTAGGACGTTGATAGCCTCGCAGGATGTAGATAGATATGTATAGACGTTGATATTGAAAGCCGATTTGTCGGGATCATGTGTATGTTCGGTTGGTTGCACTTTTGTAGTACTAGTCCACTACAGATCACATCTGTCTCACGCTTCACATAGAAATATGTACTTCTTATCAGAATCCCTTAACGCCACAGCGCTTGGGCATCTATTGTTATCCGCATCAATGAAGGTTTGTCTATGCATCATGTAAGCGCCCTATGGCCGGACATGCTTATTGTATTATTTGCATCAAAGTCGTGCGAAGCCAACAGCCCTGAAGAAACAATCCATAGGGCGCCATGTGCTATTAAAATATTCATACTGTGTGGAGAAAGAAAAAAATAGAGACGACACTCAAAAGGAAGAATTACGAGATTACGGGAGTCCAAAACAGCATGCTACGAGCGGCAACGTTTCTTCCCTGAAAACGCCAAGCTTTGCTGTGTATAACTTGGTATTCATATTCACAAATCAACTCAATTCGGTCTAGGAACGACGTCAGACCAGGTTCGACATTTGTTCAATGAAAACTGACATGCGAACAAAATGCTTCGACTCGAGATGGCGCCGGATGTTTCCCTGGGATTGCATTTATCGTGTCGAACGGAACACCGTATGAGTGCGGGGAAAGACGAGTCGGTCGGCTAACTGTGGTATCGACTGGTGAATGCCGTAACGTCGCGATGACCTGTCTGACGTCGGTAAATCCTCGAGGTTCAGCCCAACAGGCCAAGTGCACGGAGTACAAAGATCACCAAAGGAAGCAAAGACCAATATTTGATGGCGGGTTACGACGTTGATAACCCTCGGAATACCGGAGGTCTGTCTATTGCTCTGTACCATCCTGTTGAAACCGTATCGCTAGGTCCGAGAGAGGGAATGGGTATTCGGTACTGGTAGTCGTGGTTGTAAGCTACAAGCAGGCGGAGAACTACGGAAACGCTGCCCGAATGTGCACGTGATCGTGGAGGAACCGACTATCTTTGCCCAGTTCAGGAGACAGTTCGCTAAAGAGGTTCTTCCCAGTGCCTAAAGAAGTTCAAGGCGGAGGTCGTTGACGCGTCCTCGGCTATTTATTCAGGTTCCAGGAAGGGAGCATAGCCTCGAAGAGAAAAGCTTTGCCCCTCATCTCTCAGCGACCATTGGTCATTACCTTGAATATGAAACGGAACGGAAGGGTCCGACCCCATCCATTCAGCCTGAGGGCGGGTTTGTCTGTCCGCCACTTTGGGGTGAAAACAAGTGTAAATTTGAATGTGGTCTGTTTACGGTCTAGGCCGACCGTTCTTTTACTAGCGCGCTAATTATAGAAATGCGATCTGCTGGCCCATTCTTACCTTGGCGGCAGTCGTAGGTTGTCTTTACCCTCGAACCCATTGACGGATCTCATTAGGGTTCGTCAATCTTCGTCTGGACAGCTTTCATTGGCGATAAATAGCCTGCTTTTTCATGTCTTACCTCGGTGGCGATACCTTTCTGTACTTGTAACCTCGACTCGATGCGACACCCTACTTCAATTCAAACAGGTATACCCTCGAAGAACACGACTACCTCTTTTCGAGATAGATAGCCCTTCGTGTCACGTTTCTTGCAGGAATGGCAGACCCTTCCCGCATTCGTGCTTCGGGGAGCAATATGGGGGATGAAGTACATCAACATCAACTTCGCGCTGATGCCGATTGGGGCCTCGTGATTCTTCCACCGGGGCCCCGGCGCGCCTTCATACGGTAGGGTGATGGAAGACGTGGAGGGTACCGACGATCAAGCTCGCAGCTTTCCAACAAAAAATATGATGGGTAAGGGGGGGGAGAAGATGTCCAGCGCCTCATGATTGGCAGATTTTTCTACCATGATGGATGGCCGAGATGATCTGCAAACTTGGGGACAAATATTTTTTTTTCCTGCCTTGGAGAGCACTTCTTCGTCCTTGGCGATGTGTCGTCCCTTTTCTCCAACCCTGTCGGAAGACTCGCCGACTTCACGTTGGATCGCAGAGGCGAACGGTGCCGAGTCCAAATCACGTTAAAAGGGGGGGGAGGGGACGACGGGTACATTAGGTATGGGCTCCGAGAGGATACAGGGACAGGGACCGCTACGTAGTCTCTTCCATTGTGGGGTATGCGTCCGATGGAAAGGACCCTGCTGCGCCGATCATTCTATCAATTCAAGATCTGTTTATGTCGTCGTCGTCAGGTGTATTTCATAGAGCGTGGTGAAAACCTCCATCGGTGGCGCTTTTTTCCAGTCATGCGTTGCTCATGAGGATCTGGAGCGCGAATCTTTGTAGTGCGCACGACAAGTCTGGGCTCATCATGCAGTTTGTTTGAAAGCATCATATTATAATCTATGGAGATGTGACATTGTCTTTAATGGGATACGTTGTCGTGAAAGGAGCGAAGCGACAATTAATGTGTTTTATTTGACTCTGGTTTCGGTCAGAAGGCCTGTCAATGCGGGAGGTATCTGTCTGGAATTGGAGCCCGATGATTGATGGTTGTCATGCTAGGGAGATCAGCATTACCGTTGAATGTATGCATGAAGACCGTCCGTTGCGAAAATTGGTGTCGTTTATGATGATGTTGCAGAGCTCTGGGAATGACAACCATGTCTCCTTCTAATGGAGCGAAGAACATTTTCGTATCGCCTCTGAAATATGTTTTACGTTGCTGGTGCAGTGTGTCCAGTGTTGTCTGGAAATTGTTGGATATACGGTGATGTGTAGGGGAGGATAAATGCTTTGATTGTATAGACCTCTTCAGAATCCAAGCTCTGCATGTCGAGCCGACTTGTGCGATCCCGAGAGGAAGGGTCATTCGAGCGCCTCGGCCACATCAACGTAGCGTACGCCGGTCAGTAGAATGGCAGATGCTGACTTTTGCAGCAGGGACGTCCTTGGCAAGGCGACCATGGCCATCCGTCCGTGGTGCAAGGTCAAATCAGCCCAAAGCGTCGCTATTTTTTTTTTCTCCCACAGCTTGAGCGAGCCTGCACTTGTACTGAGTACTTGAGCTAGTCGCGGGGTCGTTCACGATGCAAAAAAAGCAATTTTAACCTGGAACTTTGCAGCGCAAACCGGATCGAGGACAAAATTAGTACAAAATTTGTTGAAAATGCCAAATTGGAGCATATATGGGAAATTTTTATTCCGAATGTAACTTATTGGTGTTTTTGCCCGGATGATGCTTTCTCCTTCTTTCCACTATGGTGCGCGTCTAGGCGTAGATTCTGTACCTCTCCACGAACAGTTGTCTGTGTTTACTTTCTCTTGGACAGAGTCGGTGGATTCAATGCTTGCTCATATGGGTTGCTCTGAAGCAGAGATGATTCATACCGGTGCGTCGTTCCGCTCGTCCCTGGCTCACGAGTCTTGTCATAGCATTTCGACGTGCAGGGTTTTCGTCCTCGTATTTGAGAGTCCCTTTGGCTATTGGTCCGTACGGCACGACAGGGAGCAATGTTCTTCGGGATCCAGTGGGTTTCATTAAAAACACTGAGTTTCTATGCTTGACGTAACAGTTCTAGAATGATACTCTGTACGATGTGTCGTCCTTTGTCGCATACGGCTGTAGTTGACGTTAATGAACGTTTAGTTATTAACCTCCGAATTGCCGGACATATGCTCACATTGGTAGGTTCGTCTAGGTCTCTCGGTATCTTCGACATTAAAATACATCATTAGGGCCGTTTCCGAGATGAGGATTCTGCCTTCATGGAAGGTATATGCACAGACTCTGGGTCCCAAATGCCTACTCGGCTATGTCGGACCGTACGCCTTCGAGACTTCCATCCATTCATGTCAGTCATCTATGACAGGTGTTGACTCTCAATGTGATATAATTACATGGCTGCACGTGGCTATCATTGCACTGGAGTGTCCTCATCTGCTGACGACTTTTGGTAAGAAATGAAGGTTGGAACTATAATGACTGGCAAATTAACCCTCATCATGGCATTATAGATTTTGCGAGCATAGCGTCAGCGGACATCTGCGCTTGCTCTTTGGCGGCTACGTTGGTCTGACAGAAACTGATAAGGAACGTTCAAGGTATGTTCTGCGTGGCTGATGCCGATAACGACGTAGCCGCGTGGATGGAACGAAACTTCCTTTTTCGGGACCTCATTTAGGCCGATCGTAGTACCCGGTCCCTGCGAACAGTCTTTACCATTGTCTTCATCCTGCCGTCAGAACGTGTCTGTGAGGGTGGCCCAAGAGGTCACCGCCGCTGCCACTTTGTGCCAGCTGGACGTTTATGTAAGGTTTTCATGCCCCTCTTCGTAGGTATCGACGGCTGACGGATGAGAACTTGTAGCGAGTGGCGTATATGCTCGCAGAAAGTTACTCAGAATTCATCGATGGGATTACGTATGCTCCCCCTCTTCGCTGTTTTCATCAGTCATTGATGGCAGTATTCTCTCCCAGGCTTAAGCTGTGTGGATTCTCTTGTCCTTCGGGCTGTTTCGGGATCGCTCAGTCAACTCAAAAAGCGGGGTCACGCGTCCGTCGATCTACGGCGACGTCGCATCAGACAAAGGGAACTGAGACAATGATCATCGGAGGCGGCCATATGGGCGAAAACCTGACAGGATATGCCCGGGCTACTCTGCCAAGTCTCCATTCGGGGGGTCTTCTGAATTCGATTCCCAGACGTTTCATTGCTTTGTACTTCTACCACCACCATCTCTTTCAAGCTTCTCGTCGGTTTCTGACCGGATTTCGGCTGCAACAGACTTATATACTCCTCTCATTTTTGCATTGACCTGTGAAGATGATGTGGGATTTCCCTTCCGCGTACAGTCCTCCCTGCAACCCACCTTTTGGTCACCACCAACAGCTTCCGCCTTTTGACACGCCATGGTCACCGTAAGTACCTTAACAACCATACGTAAAGCATTACCGACTCACCAAACCCCCCAGACTCCCGCCAACGTAAGGAAACATTCTAAAATTGCAGGTTCAGCATCGATGACTCACTCTACGTATGGACAGAAGTCAACCGTTCTACGTCGAATCGGGAGCGTTTCCCGGCCCTTCAATAGGTCATGCCTCCGGACATTCTCCTTATAGCTCACTTCCTTTGTCTGCCGGATCATACCATCAGTGAGTGTTTCACGCCATCCGCTGTATATAGCGTGCTGATTCCGAGCTCAAGATCTATACTCGAGTACGTGCATACACCCATTTATTGAGTACGGAGGTTCATTTTCGTAGCATGGATATACCCCCAGACGCGCCGAGGGCCTTCTTCGTTGAACGACACTATCACCATCACTACCACTACCACCACAGCAGCCGTGGCCACATTCTCCCCCGTTCCCAATCTAAGCCTCCTCCGGCAATTCACGGCAATGGCGGCTCTCAGCCTCCTGTGAATATCAAACACAGCAACAAACACAAGCACCAGCCCGTCCAAGCGGTAGCGGTACAGCCCAAGCCTCCGGTACAGCGTTTCCGGTATTCCAAGTGCACTGGACGCAAGAAGGCACTCTGCGTGAGTGTGTACCTTTTAGCCCCGTGTCATCCCTTACTCTAGACACTTCCCTTAGATCGGTATCAATTACCGCGGACAGAAAGACGAATTGCGAGGATGCATCAATGATGCAAAACATATTCGGGACTTCTTGATTCGTACGTGTTTCTCGTGTTTGTCTTGTCCTTCTGCGAGTGTACTGACTGTGTGTGTCTGTTTGAAGGCTATTGGGGGTACAAGGGAGAGGATATCGTGATGCTTACAGACGACAGTACAGATCCTCGGCGGCGTCCTACGAGAAAAAACATGATTGACGCTATGTATTGGCTTGTCAAGAATGCTCAACCCCACGATTCGCTATTCTTTCATTGTATGATGATTCTCCGGCATACTCGGACTTACATCTCCCTCTCCTAATCAATCCCCTTTTTCAGATTCGGGACATGGCGGCCAGACTCGTGACAAGGACGGTGATGAAGTTGACGGATACGATGAAGGTCCGTTCTGTTCTACAGTGCATTGTATTGCCTCACAAGCAATCTATTGACGGTTCTATGGGCTTCTCTAGTCATATTCCCTATTGATTTCAAGCAATATGGACATATTGTTGATGACGTGCGTTCCTTCCCTTCTCTTGTGCTTCTGTCTCATTTGTTCGATCTTCTTTGACTAGGAGATGCATGCAATTATGGTCAAGCCCCTACCGACAGGGTGCCGGCTCACGGTATGTGTCCCCCTTTTTCCGATCGTTTGGTCTCGATCGCGTGCGGGGCCTGACTCAAGAGCCCTGATTCTTCTTCTGCTAGGCCCTCTTCGATGTAAGTTCTCCTTCCATAGGCGCCTAGTTCCGTTCTTTTTTCCTAACTCGTGATTCGACACACAGTGCTGCCATTCCGGTACAGCCCTCGGTGAGTTAACGCCGCTAATTGAAAAACATTCCTTCAATTCCGTCTCTATCTTTTTTGGTTAGATCTACCGTATGTCGTGAGTATTGTATTTCGCGGATCCCCCACCTTTCTTCGTTTACCTGATCGGGAGCCGTGCTTTTTTTAGTATGACTGTCATGGTCGACTTAAAGGTCCCTACGTTACGAGACAATGGAGAGCATTCAAGTCGACCTCGGCCGACGTGGTAGGCATCTATTGTTTTGTTTTCCGAGTTCCCTATGGTTTACGAGCCTCGGCAGATCTCGTGGTCCGCGAGTAAGGATGAGCAGACTAGCGCCGATACGTTCCAGGGGGGCGTAGCTGTTGGTGCTATGAGCTACGTGAGCGTCTCCCGTCGTTTCTCGCATCATTGCATAGGTACCGACCATGTATGTATAGGCGTTTATCTCGTCTCTTATGCGGAACAAGGAGCAGTCGTACCAAGGGCTTCTTCAGTCTATCAGGTAGGCAGGCATTTCGGCCACGTTCTCACTGTTCGTCCCTTATAGTTCCTTTTTTTTTTCCCACCCCCCCGCCTCTAGGAAGATCCTGCAGCCCAAGTATAGCCAAAAGCCGCAATTGGGAAGTTCCCATCATCTCGTGAGTTTTTTTTCCGGATTGGGGTTCCATTCATCTTGGATGGGCTTATTGTTGCGGCAGGACACGAATTTACGATTTATCTTATGATTTGAATGAATGACTTTTTATGATAGTGTTATGACTTGACTTGACTTGACGGGATACTTTTATTCATCACATCATCATATCGTATCATTTAATTTAGATGTATGTACCAACCAATCTTGTAGTCGGAGCATGTACTAGTATCACGGTGATCAATTTCTTCCCTTTATTTACATGGTCGGTGTTCGCGGAACAGGAAGATTCGGGATCACATGGTACGGAATACGGCGGGCAAACGCAAAGGGTTGGCCCGAGTGAGTGAGTGAGTGCACTGGGGGGGGTTGGTCTGTGTCCCAAGGAACGCTGGACAGACTCAGCGGCATGACGCGCTTCTGCTTCGTCTCGAAGAAGTTCCCCCCCCAGTCGAACGTTCTCCTTTGCAAGACGAGCGCTGTAGATTCGAAGCGAATTGCTCGGGGCCATCACTATGATTCTCCAGATCAGCGGAGCGATGCCTCCAGATGCTGCCCGACTTGTTTTTGAGACTACCATTTGAATCTCTAGAATTTTGCACTTGCTGCTTGAGCTTGAGGGCATTGAGCATTGATTGACCTGCCGGGTCTGTGATGGAAGAATGTGTAATGTGTGCGCTCCCATCAGGACGTGATTTCTTTTTCGAGGGACGGTGAGCAGCACCCTTGCGAGGGTACGAGGGGTGGGGTAACATTGGCCCATGCCGTGTACATCAATCACTGCCTGAGTTGGAGTTGGAGGAGGATACATGCTGTGAACGAAGCGACATCTCCAGGTCAGGTCTGGATTCATCATCAACGGCTTTGAGAGCTCTTGAAGTAGACGAGATTGGCAAGACGGATGAATCATCATCAACCCGGCCCACTGTTGTTCATCACAAGTCGCCGAAGACGCTCGACACGATCTCGGATTTTTCGCTTTGGAAGAACTCGGTCGGTCGTCCTCATTTAGCTGATCCTTGAGCTGGGGGTGATTTGGGGATTCGTACTACCTCTGTCTGTACTTTGGCCACGGAAGGTGGGTTGGTGGCTTGTGTTTCGTGGTTCGTTGGCCCAAGCGGCTCGAACTCGAACTTCACAGCCCCGATGTTCGACATTTTGAAGCTCCCCTTTGGAGACGTCGTCGAGTCTCTGCTTCTCGACCTCTGCCTGTGCGTTTGCTGTACGTTTCCTCCCTCAGCCCTGAGTGCTTTTTTCCTTGCCACGCAACCCAAGCTCTGTCTGTCTGCCAGACCAGATCTTCCCGCCTCCCTGGTCCTGGTTAGGCGCGCCTTGCTTGGACTTTTCAAGCGAAAGGGATACACAACCGCCGGCTCTTCCATTCGATCTGAGCAATCTTCCAGTTGTTGATCCGTTACTTTCTTTCTTCGCTTCGTTCCTCCAGGACATGAACCCGCTCCACGATGGGTTTTGTTATCCTGCTTTGCTTTCCAGCTGCATGACTTCTTCCCATTCACGATCCTTCACCGCCTTGTTGTTGTAGTCTCTGTCGAGTTTGATGTTTACGATCCTTCCCTTACGATGGAAAAGTCCGGGATTTCTGAGTGGAAGCTGTCTGCTCCAATTGTGGTGCGTATGAACAACTTCAGCTTCGAGCTTAGTCGTCTTTTCACGTTCCGACTCGAGCATGAGGTTCCTCAATATCGTGATTACTTACTTAGCCTGAGCAAGTGACTAATTGACGTTCGAAACTCTGTACAGCTGTCAATCTTCCCAGTTGGCTATGAGGGCACCTCCTTCGCTTTCCGTGATTCCATAAGGTGGCTTTCCGTCTCGTATATAACGAGCCTTAAGAGATTTCAGTTCAGATTCCAGTCTCCAGCTCAGAGACATTGGATTGAAGTTAAGCTAGATGAGTCTGTGCTTCCTCCTCCCGCTTGGCCAACGGGTCACGTGATCCTCTCAAAGAAGATACGAACGACTGTCCAGAGCTCGGACGAAAGTCATCTATGGAGGTGGGTGGATGGATGAGTGAGTATTAATTTTATTTTATTTGTATGGGGGGGGGGGGGAATTGACAACGTGTGCCTGTCGAGGATTCAGCCCATACGCCCGTTGATCGGGTTATCGGTCCGTTTGTTCTAAATTTACCAACAAGTTCATATATTTCTTGATCTCGATCGTTTCCAATACTTACTTTCGTCCGTTTTTCCTTTCGTTCACACCTCAGTCTTTTTTACCACCATTACGAGTGAAGACTGAGATTGTTGGTCATTGACAGGTGCCTTTGTTGAATTCTGAGAATGGAGGGGAGTGGGAGGGGGATTAATACTATGTGCAAAACTGGACGAACCCATTTATCTGGTCTAAAGGAGCACGTGGGTAGGCTTATCAGACGACTTTTGAGCTCGGAGCTGGGACGTACTAAATTATTTCCATTTTTCCATGAGTGTGGAGGGCGGGGCTGTCGAGCGCGGCCTTCTAGCTGTCGCTCTTATGACACAGAATTTCTCTCCCACGCGCTGAGTTCCGGATCCCTCCACAACACATCATAATAGTTCCAAATGTTTTCCGCAATTCACTGCTGCTTCTTGGAAAAAAAAATAGGGAAGGGAAAAGAATGCCATCGCAGCGTGCCCCCCCGCGCCCGCGTCATAATGACTCATAACCCTAGGTAAGGTGATCGCGGCGCTGGCTTCTGGGCACATAATCGCCCTGGCGCTGCTGTTCTTCTTCGTCTCGGTCTCGGAAGAAAAATGGTCCCGGGAAAGAAGATCTTCACTGACTTCTTGGAAACTTGAAAACATACGAATTGAACGGACGATCACTCCGGAAATGAAAAACTATATAGAGAATTCTCGTTCGACATGCACCGTTTAGTTGTTTCTATGTATCCTGGTATTCATCTTAAAAACGGGGGCAACGTCGTAGATCTGGACCGTTATAATTGGTTTCAGTACTTCCAGATTTGACTCCTTGGCACAGTGGAAATAGTAACGCCAAGATTCATAAAGAGCGCTCAAGCACTCAATCACAAATTGCTAGTAAGCGGATATCAGTCATCGATACATGCAGGAACGCGATTACCTAACGTACCTTCAAGGCAGCAGCAGCAGCACATGCCAGCAAGGCAGGCCATACAACAATTCGAGTCGTCGCTCTGCTGGGGTTGCTGTTGGCTAGAAAGACCATCAATGTGGCGAGATCAGGTACAATGAAAACTGTGCAAACGTACACAATGATTGTTTGCGGCTGCTGCTGAGGCATGTATCCGGGGCCTCCCCCGTACGCCTGCGGAGGTGGCTGCGCATTCAAACGGTGAGTGTACGTTTACACATGTTCTTTTCGAAGGAAGCTCGCACCTGTGGATAGTAGCCGCCTTGGCCAGGTGCACCTGCACAGAAAAGTAAGTCCGAAGATGAATCGTAAAAGAACCGAGGAGGGAAACACGAACCTTGAGGAGGGTAGTAGGACATGAGGCGAGACGGAAACCCTCATGCAAGCCAAGCCATTTTTTTATGTGATTTCTGGGATCACGTGATGCCGTCGGCAAAACGGTGTTCCCACGCACCCCGTACCGCAGTTCCGGGAAGGAATTTTCAATTTACGTTAATGAAACGCTGGGCTTTGAAGGCGCTCATGAGCAAAGTAAGGTCTGTAAAACAAGGTGGGAGCTTACTAGTTTGTTCACTTAGTACAAAAAATCCCGACTCGGAATAGAGGTTGTCCGACCAATGTAATATGGCCGCGAAGATTGTACTATGAGGGATATGAATCCACCCAAGACACCAGTCGATGAGAGTGTCATGCCAGCAAAGTAAGGTACAATACCAAACAAGTTGAATTGCCATCGAGCACGGGACGATTAGGGCCTCAGGGTAGGAAATATTGATAAGCCAAGGAAAATGCAACGAAAGAGTTTGGTACTAGTCCTGAGTCTGCGATGGGAGTTATACGCGCGTACGCATATATCCAGTCAGAATGATCAATCAGGGCGGTCGAAGCAGGCAGTTGCGAATTACTGCATTTCGTTCTCGAGACAGGCGCCGGCGCATCAAGACAGGAGCTGTCGGTGTTGTGCGAGTCGGGTTGCGCGACAATTGCTGAAGTCACGAAGTCATCCACTGTCAGACTTTACCCACGTCACGGCGATCTTGCCTACAACATGGTGGCAAAGCAGTCGGGATTTGGTCAGGATAAAAGACAAACAAAACAAGTCAAAAACCGCGTCACATGTGTCCTCACAGCCACAGAGTCAAGGTCATTTGCACGCGAGTTCCGCAACCGGCAACCATGATTTCGGCTCAAGGTCCGGGTGACCGTACAACCACTGGGAAGCCGTCCTTAGAGGAACCGTAAAGCGAATGTCTGTCGCAAAGATATAGTTACTGGGCCTCGATGACAAATGCTTCATCGGCGGCGGCCACCGCGACTACGTTGTATATATATCGCGACCCCGGAGAGAGTGCTGCAGCGGGAGAAACTTGATTTCCCAGCGCTGGTCAGGATCCATCAATAGAAAATGATTTCAGCGCCAGACCCCCATCCTGCAGCGGCGCCCATTGCCTGGCATCATGCTCTGTAATAGGTAGATGATGCATGAGGTGGGCGGCTACACTGGTATGGTTAGAAAGAGAACCCCTCAAGAAACCAGGAGAAACACACGAAGCTCCTTCGCAGGCTCGATTCATAGGTTCTGTCCTTCCTGGCGACAGGCCCTAGGAGTGCAAATGAGCCATCTTCGAACCACAGACTGAGATGAAAGCTTCAAGGAAGGAGCAATGAGATGACGGACAGACAGACGTTCTCAAGGGATATCGCAGAGTGAAGTGAGAGGATGAGAAGAAAGTTGAGATGCGTAATTTTAGACTGGAATTTGAATTTGTTATATTTTTGCATCAATTTTTTTAAAAAAAATTTCCGAATACTTGAAAGTTGACGGTGTCACATAGACTTTTTGTCCTCTCGGCGCTTTGGATAAATATTGAGTGCCTACATAGAAAGTGGTTGTGTTGTTAACGCGGCCTTGTAGCATCCTTCGATAATTATCGCCATCTAAAAGCATGCTCTTGGTTAGAGAGTATGACACTCAATGAAAGACAGACACAGCAGAGGCCAATGCATTTAGCTGGTAAAGGTTTTGTTTTGACGATGCCCTTTTTGGTCCTGAAAAGGGCGTCGGTAAAACTATGAAAATTATTCCCCCTATGGAACAATAGAATTGACGAATTGACGTATACAGCGCTCAAGACAAGGGCGTGAAAACTATGTAGTGATAGAGGTCATGTTTAAGTAAAGAAGAAGACGGGTAGGTATCCGCGGAGATCGTGCTGCGGTGGAATTAGTAACACGTACGTAGTAAACAGCAGGCTTACACCACCTTCAGTGACAGTACCTTTGCAGCCTCTACCTACGATCACCAATCTTTTCTACTTTCTAATCTCAACTGGGATCATCACGATCCACTGGCAGAACAGAACAGCGGCCAATGGCCACTACAAACTTCTCCCCGACGACGATGTCTTCGGAGACATCCGTGGAGCTGTGTATGTGGTTGTTCACCTGAAAATCTTATCTTGTGTTGATGGCATTACTCACTGGGAACTGTATTGCATTTTGCCGTTTGCGGTCATATAGGTAGGAAGGAGCTACTAAATAGTATCTGATGCTGCAGGCGCCGACAGAGAAGTGATTCAAGCGAAACCACCTCAGTTGCGTGTCAATAGATAGTAGTGTCACCGAAGCCTTGGACTCACGTTGGCTTTTGAAGTCAAGTAGGAAAATAGATCATTTTGAGTATATAAACGTGGACCAAAACAATATGAGACGATTACTTGCAAATTCTGCAATACGGTTAAAAATCCTAGCTAGTTAATATGAAAACATGCTACCAGCGATCCGAGACGCAACTTTACTTGAATGTATTCTAAGAGCGTCTGGGATCAGTTACTCGACGTCGCCGACTCGGGGGTGGGGGTTAGCGCTGATTATTGATCATAACGGTTCGTGGATCCCAGTTGTGTTTCGATGGGAAGTAATAATGGACAAAATCATGTACTTGTCCCTGGTCTATATCAATAATATTTCTCTGTGTCCTCTTTAGAAGAAGAACTCATAAAAGATTCAATGATAATCAGCATAATTTCTTTGACACGTACCGCACGTAATAAGCAATATAGAGTTTCATCAGAGGACTATGATATCCATTGATAGCAAGTAGTGCGAATACAGCCTAGAGCTGTTCTAGAATCCGACTGGAGAGTTGCAGACCAGGTGCTCACTGCTTTGCTCGAAATCAGAAGGCCAGCGAAGGCTCGAGGACAATCATGCGCAACCTTGGGAACAAATAAATTCATCTGTTGATGATCGGATAACTACCCACCAAAGATGTGTGAAAACCTCCTGAATCATGATGGCCGTCATTGACGCCGACAAGCCGCTGTACTGTCTAATAAAGACGCTACGAAGTAGCAAGGCTTTTAGGCGCGCGAGAATACCCTTGATGAAGCTAAGATAAGCATGGAAAAGACCTCGTAGCGTCTGGTCGTCGAGCGGCCCAAACATATAATAGAAAGATGCGCAAGGCCACAAAGATTTCAACAAAACATTGCTCATGTGTTCTCATCAGCTTCGGAGATAGATACGAAATTGCCGGTGTACTGATATTACCCGGGATCTACAGAATGGTATAACCACCGCCTCAGGGAGAGATTGGCGCCCAGCCACTAGCACCACAACATGACCGCCGTCTCCCTGCCCAGTCTCGAAGAGATGTTTCCAGGTAAGATCCTTCGACAAATGTTGGATCAAACTTTCAGTAAACGTTTGTGCCTCAGAGCACCTTTTTCGTTTATCACCAGAGATGCGCGTAAGAGGCAGCGCGCCTCCCAAGCACATCCCATATTTCCCACCGCCGCCCCCCAACCGAAAACGCAAGGCGTCTTCATCCATCCACGTCCCAGGCTCGCATACAAGTTCATCCTCTGTCTCGTTCAGACATGGCGTGAAAGATGGTCCTAGTACCCCACAGCACCATTCACCGCATGCCAGCGACTCGACTACTGTATCGAGCTCTGGGGAGGGTGATGACGAGGCGGACGGAGAATCGGAAAATACTCGTCTGGCCCATTTTCCGAGCAGCAGAAAGCACGTTTGTACACTCTGCGACAAACGATTCAATCGCCCTAGTAGCCTGAACATACATGTCAATTCGCATACAGGTGCGAAACGTGAGTGCTATCGCTATATACCGACCATAGAGCCAGGCTTACAAGGACATGTAGCATTCCCATGTCCGTTCCCGGCCTGTGGACGGGCTTTTAACGTCAATTCCAATATGAGGAGGCACTACAGAGGTCACCTGGATACCAATAAAGGGGGATCATCCCAGTCGAGGTTTTGAGCGTCACGCCAAAAGTCAGTTTTGTCAGAACCGGGGGTCCGGAGTCCTTCCAGAGATAATTGGAGCAGCTAATAGGTCAGATAATAGGGCAACGGGAGAGGGGTGGGGGGGAGAATGTTGATTCGGAGCGGGCTGTTGAGTTCGCGGTGGTTGGAACGCCTGTCAAACCGTGTTCGTTAAAGTATTTATGCTTGATATGTAACATCGTCGGGTACAAAAGCAAGCAAAGGCACGATGTATTGCCGAGTCGAATAGCGACGGACAAAAATAGCTTCAGTAGATCGGTCCGGGCATCCACTCAACACAGGCGTGGGAACCGGCACGACAAGCGATCACTGTTCCCCCTCTCCACCTTTGTTCCGTTGAATCTTAAGCATCAGCAATGCGTGTACAGACATGTATACTGTTCCATTTAGGCTCGGTACTATGGCAAGGATAAGGACGCTTCCCTTTCGATCCAGTGATCTGCTTTAATTTTTTTCCGCCAGGATAGCGCGGTATATGCATGATAATTTAAGGAAGAATAGATGTTAACATACACTATGATGAGTGGCGTACTCTTATCAAGTGTGTCATCGGCGGCTTCTGTCCCTGATCTGATTCGGGGCTTAGCCAAGAGCATTCTCCGTGCTTCTTATGTGCTGATTTTTTACACTGGGCTTGCAAGCTTGGGGCTTTCCAGATGCAAGCAGGGGAACAGACCCCTGATTTTCATCACGATTTCCGCGTCTCCTGTAAGTCCTTCGAGTTTTCAACTCTGGCCTTTTTTTTCAAACCACCACGACAAATGTAACGGCCCTCTGCAGCCGCCCAAAATGTGACGTATAAATGCAGCGGGCGGTAATCATCTAGTGATTCCGAGACACCAGGTAGCTGGGAAACGGCTACAATCTCATTTCGGTGTCAATCTAAGTTTGTCTATTTCTGGCCACTCTCGGTGGTGAGCCCTCGTTCAGCAACTAGGATCGGCGATGCATGGCGAGATTATCATTCGTGGGGTTTTCGGAGGACACTCGGGGGATTATGGTTTGAAATTTCTGCCGTCATCAAGCTCCGCCAACTCCAAGCGACGCTCCATAGATGTCTTTTCTTCCTTGCTATCATCATGATCACTGGTATGGTTGCTTTATTCTTGCTGGCAGCATCTATGACTGCTGTAGCATCCGGAAATGAGTCGGACCTCGCTGTTGTTACACCGTGAGCCCATTTCTACCTTTCACGGCATTGTGGCTCGGCTCATGATTCCTTCAGTCGCACCTTGGTTCAATGCAATAATACCCTTCTCAAGTGGAGTGGAGGTTTCGGTGCGTATTCGTATGTCTGGTTACATACATGGATAACAATATGCCTGACTATTGCAGCGCCTTATTACGTCGTAATTCCTATCTCTCTGTTAAATCTACCAACCAACATGGCTTACTCCTTTCTGCAGTTGTATTTTCACCACCTTCTAATGCTATAATTCAATCCTCACCACCCCACAGCATCGTCCCAGGCAGCGACCCTGATGGACCCATACTTGAGGACCTCGGTGAACAGGACGATACGAATGTAACATGGAGAGTCAATCTTTCCGCAGGTGCGCCCAATGACTCTGTTCTCCTTCCGTCAGTATTTATCTCACCTTAGGAACGTCAGTCGTCCTAGCAATTCGTGACAGCGAAGCCGTAAGTATCCAGAGCGACGCTGTCCAAATTCGAAATAGCAGTATGTGTCAGTGGCCACTGTTTCTCTGAATATTTCTCAAGAACTATAGCGGACAGCAGCTGCTTGAACGAATGATTCGCATGAACTATGTATGCATTAAAAGACTGGTCTGTCCGATATTATCAGAATACGTGTATATGAAAAATGTCCTTCAAAGAATCAGACCCAAAAGCCCGCCCAGCAATCCCACAACAATCGTCACAAGCAGACCAACGACAGGGAGGAGCCTATATCCATGTCATAATCAACTCATGATCAGAAAGAAAAACAAAACGCGCACAGAGGAAGCAACAGCGCCAGAATACCGCCCACTACCCCAACGAGAGCAACAACTAATCCGGCAAGAACACCACCGACATCCAGAAGGATCGAACCCAAATCCAAGGAAGATGAGTCGATGTTAGCGGTGGCTAGGCCGTCCATCGTGTTCGAGATATCCTAGATCACAGATGAGGGGAGGGAAGAAGGGAAGAGAACAGATCCAAGCTTACGGTGATGATCCCGGCTACGAGAGTGGCAATATCTTCGTCGGTGCTCCTCTTAGTAACCGAAGTCCCAACCAAACTTCCCAACTCGGACGTCGCGTTCTTGATTGCCCCCGTGAGGTCGTTGATAAGGGGCATGACCAAGTCCTGGGTGAGGGTATTGTTTTTGATGAGGCCCTCTAATAACACGATGTCAGCGGGAGCTGATGATATACTGATTATTCAACACGTACCGATTTCTGGTAGGATCTCATCGACCACGCCCTTGAGGTCCGTGAAGACGTCGAGGACGTCTACATCTGAACGAGCAACCAACTCGGTGTCGCATTTGACGAGGTCGGCTTGGATGGGTGCTGGAGAAGCGAGGGCTGGGCTGGCGGCAAGGAAGAACGCCGAGGCTGCGGTGAGTGCGCGGAAGAAGAACATAATTGCCAGAGAAGGACTATAAGCGAAAGAAGGAAATTACTTGAAGACTCGATGAGTGAGTATTCTTTGCTATAGTCCATGTTTCTTTTATACGAGAGAATCCATCTAGGCACCACCCGTACTACTAGCAAGCCAGAGACCATCATTGTCGGAAACGCGAACAAGAAAAGAAATTGCCTTGATGGTCCGAATAGAATCGTCACATGAAGGTGTTTCGAAAAGATTGAGCGGCACTTTCTCTGAGGATCCGGGGAGGCGTGAGAAGGATCCGCATGCTTTTTTGATGAAGAGACCAATTCCCAGATTTTGGGAAATGCAGAGCCTGGAATTCCGTTGCGGACTTGTGCATTTTGTGAGTCGTAAATAGAGAGTACCCCTTTGATATATGAACCTATGAAGCTGCAGCCCTGAGACACTACCACCAGGTTAGCAACTACATCAGAGAGCCTTCAAATGTGGCGCTGAGGCCGAATGCCAAGTACGACGAGGACAAAGTTTAGAGCATGCGTTCTGTGCTAGTACCCCAGCAAGGCGATGGCGGGCGTCGATGCTTATAACAACAAATTCGGGATGCACGTCATGATGTCAGTCGGGGACAAGTTTAATTTCAAGTTACAAATTCATTGTCGAGACACGTGGGAGCGGCGGCCGTTTCCCTTCCTTCGTCCATCCTGCTAGTTTCAGGCTTGGATGCTTGGTCTGTGTTTTTGTTCTGGAATCTCTCACAATTATTTTGATGCCGCCGTAGTTGTATTTAGGGCGCACTCGAAGGTATGTTCAGATTTTTACAAACTCTAGGACCATAGCAGCGACGCGACGCTATCTATTTACTGTCCATAAGGGGCTTTCAAAATCAGTTCTGAGACAGAACATCTCGCGTCAATGTCTTTCTCTGCACTGGTCCAATTACCTGATACGCTAATCCTGGGATCGTACCAACTCCTCATCGCATGGCCGTCTGCCACAAGCATGCTCAGATGGACACAAAAATGCAGCAGCGAGCGTCAGGCAAACGCATACTCTCTTCACGGTGGCCTTGAATACGGATGCGGGTGCTTACTCCTCTGTTCGACGACGTAGAATGTACACTGATTTTGGAATATGATTCAAGGGGTGAACTAGGGACAAAAAGGCTGGTAAAGGCATTCCTCTCCATCTATTAAAATGAATTGTGGAATCAACACATCAAATTTCCTCACTTGAATTTTCATACCCAATTGGGACAACTCGTGTATTCGCGCCTTCTCCGCCTGGCCTAACCATTCACCCTCTTGCCGGGTCCCGTCCAAATGTAAAGCGATAGAGACATTCTTGAGATGACTCCGGCGCGCTGCCATCATCTCGACCATTTCGCTCACGCCTTCGAAGGAACAAGTTGCCTGATATAGATTTAAGACTTCGAGCGAAGGTAGAATGGATGATGTTTGAGCCATTGTGTTGAAGAAGAGTTGCGCAATGACAAGTTCTTTAATGCGTAGCAACTTGAGAGATAAACACAAGCGAAGAAGGTGCATGAGGTCGGCGGTGTCTTTCGCGGAAGACAGGGAAAGGTGTGTTAAGGTACAATTGGATCGCCTGATCATTGAGGACAAGCTCGGTATGGCACTATTGTATATTCCGGTGATGGACTTGAGCTCGGGAAGAGTGGCAGAGTCAAGAAAATTGCTCGGTACACACCCGCTTTCCACAACACGTAGACGTGGGAGTGTTACTGCCGGATATGAAAAGGACGTGTCTGTGTCATCCTCTCGGCTTGCAGTGCACATACATAGCGTCTCTAAGTTTGACCCATTCTGCAGAAGTGCCTGATGGTGCTCCCATGACGGGGATACCTCTGCTATAAATTGCCTGAGTTGATTCCATGGAAGGATGAGAGAAGGAACTGCAGAGACTTTCACGTAGCGCAAACACGGCGCAGACCTAAAAACGTCCAAAGCGAGGGAGGGATATACAGTGTCCCAGTCGGAGAAATCAGGGAAGAGCATGAGATTCAGATTATCAAGGATAGATTAGCGACCTTGTACAAGAGGGAGCCTCTCGCAGAAAGGATATCCAAGAGATAGCTCGACATTCTTCCATCGTGGAGCGTGGTCAATAAATGTGTCCAACTACTCTAACCCACAATCTGATTTGTATTGTGAGGAACGCGCGGTGAAGGAGAGTGTAAGGGGAACATTCTTGGAGAAGTCAAGGGCCTTGTTGATTATGTTTTTTGTAATCGATAGTAAATGAAACTTTTTCTTCTCGATTATCTGTCTGCGGTCAAGACTGTCCAACGGAAACTCATCAGCATGTCTCCGATTTGTATCAAAGACAGAGAAGCGATGATCGTCCGTGGATAGGCGGAATGTAGCCCAGAGAATGGGATGGGATCGTGCGACAGCCCTCCACTGGTTGCACACCCTGGTTGCGACCCAAGGGAATTGGTCTGTGGACGCCGCGTTTGGACCAGCGAGCTCGAAAATGACTGCCAGGAGATCATCCGGCAAGGAACGAATGGGTGAAGAAAAGGCATATTTATGTTGATCCATGATTTCCTGGACACGAAGGTGCTCAGAGAGTGTTTTCGCATATACTGCTTCGTACTGTTTCAGAATGAGTGTAATATGAGATATAGCGTTCTGCTGATGCGCCAAAATCTCCTCGAAACACCTGGCATTCATTTCTAGCCTTTCGAGGGATTGATCGATTTCAATTCGGTCGGATGGGGAGGGAAGCAAGTTGCCGGCGATGAAGGGTACGATATTCACGGGGATGGAAAAGTCCATGGCAGATACGACGCGATAATAGTGACCGAGATTTAGGTCCATCGCACAGGCAGAACAAGCCTATAATAATGTTAGGACAATGACACAAAATTACAGGAAATCGTACCTCTAGGACCGCAGTTGGCATCGTGATTGATAGAAAGAAAATACGTCCTGTATTCTGAAGAGATTTTGAAGCAGAATGGTTTCGGTGATCTTTCCCAGATATGTAACTATAACTGATCTCTCTGAGGCAAGAAACAGCGCTCACAAAATCACAGGTGATCCTGATCGGCTGAGAGTAGAATTGGCCCAAATGGATTGAGAAATATCAGTACCGTCTTGGCCTGGGCACGAGACAAAAATACAAGAGCAGGTGAAAGAATTAGTTGTCGTCTCGTGGCGGTCGTCGTGGTGTGAAGGCAAGTCAACTGCAAGTCCCGAAAAGGAAGCACCACCACCGTATCAAATTCCTCATGATTTCCTTCGCGTCCGATTAAGATGTATGTACACGACAGTCTTACCAGGGGTGACACGTTCTCATGTGGCTTGAAAAAAGAGAAACAAGTGGTGCTGGCAATGGTGCAGTGGTTTGAATATGTACATGAAAAAGGTCATCAATTTCCGCATAAGTGTCGATGAAGCGACAACACTTGCAATGAAATTTAGAAGTAGATACTTCTCAGCAGAATCTCTGCTAACAATTAGGCATCAATATTGTCCAGTGAGTCACCACTACTGCAGCGCTCACCTCTCACGAGGCGGTGAGTCGTGGGTCAGAGACGTGGAGAGTGATAAGAATTGAAGCCTGTCACACCGACAAGTTGCAAATGATTGCGAAGGACTTTGCTTCATAGGCATTCAATGGCACGTAGAGCGAGGCAGTCGATAGCTCAAGAACCACCATAACACGTAAAAATACAGCAGGAAGACGTCATTTTGAAACACAAAAACGGCATGGTCAGAACAACGGTTGTCGTGCGCTAGGAAGCTTTGAAAGGATGCTCATATAGTCGGTTTGAATCAATATCCGATAATTGCATAACTTGCATCCAGAAGCACCTTTAGAGACATGGCTACAGTTGCGATGCATCCTGCAGTGGGGGCAGAACCGGACGTAGAGGACAAGGAGAGACAGCCATGCACTTGCATTCACTGGCAGAGTTCTGGAAAGACGAAAAAACACCGCTTAATTACAAGCCAAGGGCCTTGAAGAAAACTGTACCAGTTCATCCTAATCATGTGCGTTCGAAACTACCATTTTTCAAAACTGATAATCGTCAAGTGTCCTTTTGAAGTTTGACCTACAGGAGAGCAGGATTAGATAGATAGAATGATAGAACGCGCATTTTCCTAGCTTCGGTCCGAATGAACCGGGAATCACTTTTTCACTTTCGTCCTTCCACTGTTGACAGAACGATGAGGTTCGAAATCGATAATCTCGTTCGTATGTTTCCAGAACGAAAAACCTATCAAGACGTCCACCTTCTTCACACCTACCTCTAACACAGACTAGAACTTCAGATATTCAAGCAGCTTCGAAATGAAGATTTCTCTGTTGTTAATACACAGTTCGTGCGAAGGTGTGAAGGCTCATTTCTATGTTTCTTTTTTCGACGCATAGAAATGCTGCCGCTTCTCCAAATCTACAAAGGAACCTTCAGCGGAATATGCAAATTGCAGCAAAAGTAGATTACCATGAGCCCACATCGCCGCCCCGACCCTATTTGAGATGGTAAAGACAAGGCCGATAATAGGCAGACCCTCAAGTATGGCTGCAGTAAACCCAAAGACTGAAAATGGTCGCATTAGATCGTGAATTCCGAGCTGAGTCTAGATTCTCACTTCTGTAGTCCCACTTTCTTTCCTCCATGAAAATAGCGATCTCTTCGGGAGTCATTTTTTTGGCTTCGAAGTACCGCCTGTGGAGAATTCGAGCAGTCCTTAGACCTTTGAACCACGCAGCGATGACGATTCCGACGGGCGGAACCAGGTCAAAGGGTAGGAGCATGACTAGAAGTGAGATAAGCGGTCGACCTTGAGAAATAGTAAATGAAAATGTACGCTTAACAACCATAGCGCCGAGCCCTCCATTGAGCCTGCGCTGTATGAAGGATGTTTTCTTGACCACAGGAGGATTCGTCCATTCTTCAACATACGGCCGCCAGAAGTCAGGACCCTTCCCTCGAGAAGCGACAGTTTGTTCCCAGGCACGGTCTCGAGCAATATGCATGTTACGAGAAAGGAAGAAGCGTATGATAAACGTCACTTGTGACACCATCAGGACTGCAGTTGCATCTGGACATAATCATTAGCTTAGGAGAGGGTGGAATGAGAATAGCGAACAAGTGTAAAGACTGAAAGGTATTTGATATCCGAATAGCGTGTCTCCCGACAATCCGGTTACACGAGGTGAGCTACGTCGACGACTAAGCATCGCAGACATTTCTTCGACGAGAGACCTTACTTAGCCATGAAATATCGAACAAATTTTCTTTGGATGCCAAAAGTCAAGGCACTCTACGGCGGAATAAAGATTACTTTTGCCCGTTCATGTGAAAAAAAATGAAAGTTACCCATATTAGGCTTGCAATGACTCCTCTCTGCGTACCATGCTTGCACTTTGCCCATACGGGCTGATAGAGCGCCTTATCCGTAAAAAGACGATAGACGCCCACAATCACGTAGGAAGGCGGGAAGCCCAGGCGAAATGTTGCTCGTTCCAGCTCAGCTGGAACACTGGATTTTGCCTCCGAGTCAGGAACAGAGAATAAAGCGTCCTGGGCCTCAGGATCGTCACCTACAGCAGACATATCGGTTTTCCGTTGTTCCTTGGAAAAGTCGGGATGATGGTGGTTGGTAGTCAAGGTGTTTAGGCGCGTGTCGTCATCGTTGTTGTTGTTGGATTATGTAATTATTCAGGTACTGTCAGACGGGCGGGCCGAATGCTTTAGGTACTTGCCGTCAATTCTTAGCAGTGAAGGATACGAGTACATCAAGAGCACTGAATTTTATTTCTCTAATTCAAGCGCTCTAAACTGATAAAAAATAATTTCTAGATGATTTTCCTGTAAAGGGACCGTGCGTGGGCGAATCGTGTTGGACTCACTATAGGCGAACCGCCTCCACCGATGCATATTGCAATAGTGCATGTGTTCCTTCATGGATGAATAATCGTAACCATACTATCCACTGTTATGACAGTCATGTTCACGCTGACTTTCGGTAGTCCATTTGCCATCTATGAATTCCAATTCCGGTGCGTACATGCGTTCCTTTCACCGTTTTAATTTACACGACCTAGGATCATCGGTGCCATATTCGTCTAGCCGCCAACCCGGAGGCACGAGATCTGGTGTACTAATTGATGACAATGGCTATTTACGCTGGTATCAGGCGCCCATGGATTTCTTGATGTTAACATCATCCGTGAACCACGGACAAAAGATTCTTTAAAGGCGATGAACACGCCATCTTATCAGTCTCTTTCCTTCAGCCATGGAAGCCCTTTTAGAATCAGTGATACTGACTCTGCTGCCACAGATGTCGCCGCAGCAGCTGCAAGACTACAGAGGGGTTTTGGTGAGCTTTCATGATATTTCCTATTATTCGACCTTGCGTAACAGGAAGACTAGACGTGCTCTGGAGTACATCTGTTGGACACGTACGAATAGTATCTGCCACTGTACCTGTCTGTTCCCGATGTCCAGGAAATAAAGACGCCGGTTTTCGATTCTCCATATTTGATCATGGATATTGCGAAAGATTGTGACAGCGATTACGTTTCCTCCACATAGCAGTCGATAGGAATGTAACAGGCTCAGGTCAAGTCATTTCCTCTTCCAACAGCATTCTTCTGGGAGTGGAGGCTTCTATTCCGTTTAAAGCTAAGATTTTACCACGAACGTTCCTTGGATCAACTCGCACGCTTACCACGAACGCCACCGGGACGCTGAATGGCACTCTCAAAAGCAGATATCGAAGTAAGCACCTCTTTATCTACCCATTTCTCGTAACAGGATCCTTCTAGGACTTATCCATTCTCCGTCGGTTACCCCCGTGACGAACGAACGGTCACTTATGGACGGGGCCGGCGGTGATGGGCTGATAATCTAGCGTGCGGTGCTAGACGTCTGAGGTAAGTGAAAACATGTTGACACTTAATTTCCGGTGCGATGAACATCGAGTGGTGTCAGAATCGCCTTCACTGGCGTTTTCTTCGTTGCGGGGAGTTCTATGAGTCGGATGAACCTCGAAGCTGACGGATATCTACCCGCTCGACTGCTGGTTCTCGACACTCGCTTCCTGCGGTTCACATTCCAGATTGAGGTCCCTCTATACATCTTTGTGAGTGTCCGCCTTATGTCCTGTAACCCCCGGAGTATGCGACCAACCGTACCAGATCATACAGCCACTGATCGGCGAGCTGCAGATACTTAGTCCTTATGCGGTGGCGCCAAAATCTAATCCTGGATTAAGTGTTATCTCTTCCCAATTGGGTCTCCTTGCCCAGGAAATTGAATTTTATTAACCTCGTTTATTTATACAGTTATACCCTGCCCAGGAGTAGCAACTTTCTCCAATCCTGGAAATCGCCGCCGTATGGAAGGCTCAGCCGACGTCTACTTATTGTAGCCGTCGCTATCTTTGCGATTCAGGGAGCATCTTCTTTCACAACGCTTAAAATTACACCAGGCTGCAGCGTTGCGGCCCAAGATACATCCTTGTTGAAGACATGCGTACTTAATTATTTCTTGCGGTACACGTTTTCCATTCACAAACGATCGTGGCGCCGCACCATAGTCACTCAATATCGAACAGAGTAGCCCTTCCATACTGTTGGCATCCAGAGTGGCAACCCGCTGATAGCGCTTGTTAATGCTGATGCTATTGATGAATGCAATGGATCCACGGGATGTTGTAATATTTCTTCCCTGTCTCCACTTCTCTTTTCATAGCTCACGCAGGCGACTTTTCTAGTGCTGATTTATCTCTGCTCCCTGCGTCGTAGTACGGACCAGATTCGCTCGCTACGATTGCATTGACTACGCTTAACTATGTCCCCGCCTTGTCTGTGCTGCACTGCGGTCGTATTCAGCAACCTGGGCCCTTCTTTGCACGTGTCTCTTATAGTCGCAAGTTATTAATTTCATCGCCACTCTGAAACTGGTTTCAATTTCGGAGCTTCCTTCATTCTGACACTGGCGGTTTTGAAGTTGATGTCCTTACTGCGCAGCTGAACACGATCACGTGCAATATTACCACCAAGAAGCTCAGGATAGCTACCTCTCTTATCGAACTTGGAAACTCAAAATAACGGATGAGGCCATCGTATGTGTTCCTTTTCTTTCGGTCTCCGTCATGCTGGCTTGTCTCCGGGCTCTCCGCGAAGTGCGCCTGTGCATTGGCATTAACCGGAATAGGGTCTTCTGAGAAACCTTCGGCGGGCCCTCACGTAAATGTACACATGTCAATCGAGTCTGGCCAATAGATGTCCCTGGCTACCGGAAGTAATACATCCACAACCTGAGTTTGAATTAGGACTTCTGGCTATTACACCCGCATGGATAATTCTATCCGACAATTTCTCATATTTACATTCGGTTTCTCGTCTTTTCCTTGTTCACGAGGTCTCCATTACGAGATGGATGACCACCCATATCTTCTTTGATTAATGCCGGTGTCAGAGGCAAGGGTATTATCGACCTTTTTCGCGGTACCTCGAGTATGATTCCGCTTCTTTACATGGTTCTCTTTACGATTTTCAGCCTAAACTGGATGGTTTTCTCCATCCTTGGGGATGATCTTCTCCGTTGGGCATTAGCCGTCAGATTATCGATGGCTTTTTCCTAGAGCGTGTGACTGACACGCATGATACCCCGTGTACACTATCGCAAAATCTTGGATCCTCATTGAATAGGGATGGGAATGTGGCCATTTACAATACTATGTCCTAGATTCTAACGTGTACCCGGCGGGAATTTACACCTGTTGCGGAACGGATATTTGCGTGGCGCGAAGTTCGCCTTCAATCTGCTCCCTGAGATTCCTGAAATCTCTCTTGATACGAAGGTTGGGATAACTTTCCCATGCGCCTGCGTGGATATTTCGATTCAAAGCGTTGCTTACACCGGAGCCGTGCTTTCGTTTCTACTAGTTGTACGCCCCGCATTCAGGAATCGGCTTCGACATAAGGCAGCACATTTTGCCTCAAGAACTAAGTACTATCGACTTGTAAGCCATTATCTGAACCGGAAATTTAGTGCTATTGACTCTATTCCGCTTGACAGAGAGCTCAGCCTCCATGACGAGCAGGCTGCATCTGGCTCCCATTAGCATATCGTAGCAGATGCGTTCCTTGGGACGGATCATTGCGATTCGCAATGTCCCACACTTAATACTGGCTTCTTTGATAGTAATTGATACCGCTGTCCAAGTACTTATGTCCTTGGTAACTTTCTCTAGGGATACGCTGATCTGGTATGATTTTGCCTCTTTGCATGGACAGTGATGTATCAAGATTGAACCGGCGGCATCAACAAATTTGTTTTACACAGGTAACTTCGTTACCCACTCCAACACTTACCATCTGCAAACTGATTGGTCCCAACGTTCACATGTCGATTTGGGTTCTGGGTTGTCCCGACCGGGTTGTTCCTTCAATATTAGAGATCGGAAGTTAAAACACTCGTGGCTCACGAGTCGCTATCATTTCCGCAATCACAGCTCCTTCGATCGGCCTGCCACACCTAACGTCATGAAGTAATTTCTCGGCAGCACGAACGGAGCTCTATTAATGAACTCTGTTCTCATATTTAGGACAGCCATTGTGAGAATCGTTCGTTTTAAGGGCGCTCCAGGGTCGTTACGGCAGATATTCTCCACCGTCGATACCATAAGCGCTGTGGTAGTGCTGTCATCATGTGAGTGCGTATATCCGAGTGCTCCTTCGAACGCCGCGATGCCTGACACCATCAGATACAATAGTGAACTTGACCTGATTTAATCATGGCTTCTCTCAGGCTGCAATGTCGAGTAACATAAATACGACGTACCTCTTCTTCTCATCCAAACACTCTAATGTCCCTCATCAAAGTGCCCCTTTTATTCTCCGACGCCATTGGTATGCGCATCACAGGGAAACCTCCCAACGAGCCTCTTCCTCTCATCGAGCACGTCGTTCCCGATTGGAGAGAGAAGTTCCTCAAGAGTCTAGCATGGCCCTGCGTATTTCTGAGAGTAAGTCGACGATGACGATCGCTTTATCCTCCATCTCAACAATCATTCATTAACAGGCGATTTACTGGTCTGTCGGCATCATCGAAATGACCGTTATCGTAGCCAACCATACACCGTCATTGGCTGTCTCACGGTTCATTACGTCCACCATCGTTTTCAACAGCAGGAATCACGGAATCGCCATAACTCCTCTATTCCTCTTCGGAAACTTCCTCACGATTGTGGGAACCGCGATCCGTTTGCAATGCTACCGCACGCTTGGGCGCCTATTCACGTTTGAGCTGAGCATTCGTCAGGACCATCGTCTGATATCCGAGGGTCCGTATGCGGTGGTTAGACATCCCAGTTATACCGGAATGATCATAACAATTGCTGGAGCCATCTGTAGCCAGTCTAGTGGTTCGTGGGTGACGGAATGTGGCCTGTTGGACATGTGGTTCGGGAAGGTGTTGGCGATATATTGGCTGTTGGTGGCTGGAGCAGTTGTGACCAGTCTTATCCTGAGGGTCTCCGTTGAGGATCGATTGCTCGAGAGGAACTTCGGTAACGAATGGGTCGAGTGGAACCGAAAAGTGCCATACGGTTTGATCCCTTGGGTATACTGAAAAATGGAAGGCGATGCGAGCGACGGGTCCTCGGTGAGATCCCTCATGTCATATTCACCTCTACTCCTAGGAACTGAAGTTCGTTCCTTCTTTACCATAACGGAGAAATTGAATACCTCATAGTAGCTTATCATGAGATCCTATGGAGCATACCGATCTGTATCTTTTATATATATATGCTTGGACCAGAAGGTGTTATCGCAATTTTCTTGACTCCATTTGTCTATTGTTCTAGAGTGAGCCGACGAGGACTAGCTTGGAGGAATGCTCTCTCCGACAATGAAAGGCCAAGCTTGGCGACGCCACATACATGATAAAGAACGTGTGCCAATCGTCGAGGCCAGAATTGGTAGTGTAGCCAGCTACGCCCGTGCCTTCGATCTCTGGAAATGGGTGTGGTGTCCATGCGCTCAGGTGGCTTTATTTCCCTCGACTCCGCAAGCCCCAGCCTAGGCATATGGGATTCCAGTGACATTAAGTCTGGTCAAGGTCCCCGTATCTAAGTGGATCTGTCGCGGAATGAGAGTGAGAGAGAGTTACGTGAACTGCATTTAAAGTAGCATGGACTCAGGTAAGCGAGGGGAACATTTGACTGAACGGGGAGGAGAAACCTGCGGGAGCCAACGAACTGGGAGGAATGCACGAGGGACGCGAGGGACATTTTTGACCAAGAATTTCTTTAATCCGCTCCAGAACAATGTATTATGCATGGAGTGAGAAGGTAGAGACCAGTGGTATTGATATGAATAACGAGAGTGACGATGGATCTTCCTCATGAACGAAAAATGAGATTTATCGACGGGTAAGGAGGACTCTGTGTGAACACATGTTGTCAATTGCGACGTGATAGTTTTTGTTCTCCCTGGGCCGTCGGCTCTGGTTGGCGGCGATCATCCGCAGGGATTTTGGTCAAAGAGTGCTTCTGAAATGACAGTTTGAGTCTGACCGGTAGAAATCACTTCATTGACTCCATGCTCGAAAGGGCTGGTTGAGAGGTAATATTACACTTCGAATTTGGACAAGAGCCAGAAAGTATGCTTGCATCGGTCACCTAGGGAGTGTTAATCACGAAAATTAATTGAACGCTGGTTGGTGTAAGCATGATGTCTACTCGCCTCAGGACTTGATAGTTACCACGCTCGTGGAGTACTCTATGTCGTGACCGAGTCGGGAACATGCTGTCCGATCACTCCTAGCAGAGAAATGATGAGGTCGAAAAAAGGAAGCCAATATCTGCGTACAGTATATGCTCACATGGGAGACAGCCATCAGCTATGGAGATTTCGGGCTCGTCGGTACGTATGTGTGCCTACAGTCACCGTCGCGCAACATCTAAAATGGAAAAAAAAAAAAATTCATTAGCATCAAGTTGGACTCACAGCAGCTCAACTTACAGATAAGTTCTGTTTGAAGGATCTGTATAGGTCTGGATGGTCCAAATTATCTGGACCCTCCAATGGCACCAATCAACCATATTAAACATGATCGACACAAAGCCAAATCATATATTGACAAAATGATTTGGATTAGATTAGTGCCAACAGACCCAGAGAGTTTTTTAGGCACCACATTCCAGCTTGTAATATGCCTTAAAGTGCACTTCAATCACTATTCATCTTGATATATGTTCTTAGGTGATGAGCTTCAGGGACTCCTGCTTGAAGGTAAAATGAACACAATGGAGTTGTTGTCAAGGTTGACTAATACTCAGAGAGGGACAAAGAATCAGGTAAGCCCTTTGTGATGAGGACCTTGAAATGCTGAGAAGCAGCAATAAATGAATCAACAATGTGCATCCTGCACACTACTAAAACACCAACACCAAATCACAATGTGGTTTGAGGGAGGAATAGTAATACCTGGACTCTAAGTATGTAGAGAATGTAATGTGGATGGGGTGCAATAAAGTGTAATTTAAAGATATATATTGTGCTTTGCTTGGACAAAGCTGTCTGTGTCACTGAATACAACAGAACTTATCTCAAACAGTCTGCCTGGTGCAGGTTCTGAACTTGTATGGACTGCCTGATGCAGTTTCTGGACTGATACAATGCATCTGGTTGTGACTTATACACAAAAGTGACTGTTGTCTCAGGTCTGTTCTGACTGTCTGATATAAACTTTTGGTTGCTTTCTGGGGGTTCTTGCACAAAACAAAGTGACCTAGTCACCACAATACTATTCAGGTTGAGTCTATAACTTGAAGCTCTTAGCCAAACACAACCCATACTATTTGCTTAGTAGTGTTTCAGGGGGGGAGGGCAGAAACCTGCCCACCCTCTATACATGACTGGTATTCATACTATCTAGCTACCTATGTCTGACTAACATAATGGTCTACTGACTAATCTACTTGCTGAGCCAACCTGGTAGGCTGAACTTATTCTCTGGCAGATATGAGTTCATATGCAGCTACCTGGGTGATTGATCAGGCCAGGCCATGGATCAAGCTTTGGGATTTGTCATTATGCTGAGACCTGATACCTGGCTCACTTAGTGAGAATGCGGGTCAGACCTTTCAGTACTTGTTGAAGTACTGGAAGCAGTCTGCTCCATACCAGGTACTAGCACTAGCATTCTTGTTATTCATTTCCTGTACTGGCTACAATGTGACTTATCCAGCAAATAAGCTGGTTTTCTACATTGTAAAGTTACCTGGCATATCAACCTTCAAAGTGAATAGTGATATTTAGTGAGCAGATCTCCACTAGAAGAGTTGTGGATGAGCATATATTTTGCCAGGGAAGCCAGAGACAACATATTGTCGAGATGAAACCTCTATATATGCGTGAACATTTCGTCCGTCGGATACCTCTTACATTCCACCTGTCGTGAATCGTGATGAGAATGAATCGGAGAGAAAGAACCTATGCCGAAATGCCGAATCAATGGGCCGGTCTGGACGTCCGGTACTGAACTTAGCACTCATCAAACCGTTTTTTTTGTTTTTTCTATAGACTTGTTGTTATCGATTGGTAGTATGAAGGGAAAATAATCCTGAACGTGTGCGGAAGTGGTTCACAGGGGAGGACGCGAAGGTAATGTTGCAATCTATAATTGAGAAGGGGGATACTGAATTGGTTTTTTCATGATTCTGATACACCACGGGTTATCATTATCCAGCATTTCGCTTTTTCCTCTGTCAGCGTGTCACTGACCTTGATCATTGAGTTCTTTTCGCTATTCAAGTTCGCTTAGTCCCCATCTTTGCTTTTGCCGATGACACTTATTTTCTGACCTTCTTCCATACAGTTTCAGGAACGATTCAATGGCATACCTGGCCCTAACATCGTGGATCAACAGGGCGAACAATTTCATTGTTCCAGTGGATGATCACCCACTGTTGCTATTCATCTTCTTACAACCGGTAGGAGCGGAGTCGTGATGTTAGTTTGCTATCTCCGTTCTCATGAGTCTTCATCATCTTTCAACCATTTTGATATACCACGGCTCATTTAAGCGGAGGCTTTTCTCTAATCGAGACAAGTCGGAATCATGTCAGCTTCGATGCTCCAGGGATGCCCTCACATCTTGGGTTCGTCTTTCTTTTTTTGGTAAATCCTTGATTTTGAATCCTTGATCGCGTTTTAACTGGTATTGCATAAAACTTCGCCTGAGGAGTCCGCGTTTTTAAGTTTTTTCCAGACTCTCTGATTCGTTTCACGCATACCCCATCCACGAGAATTCCCACTTAACTCGTGGCTTCAGAGGCGCAGGTTCCCGAACTTCCCGATGAAGAGGTCGCAGTCATATTTAGCGTTAACGACGTTGAATTCAACCGATGCATCGTTTTAGCAATGATGTATGGTAAGAAGAGATTAATGAAGGCCCATCTACAGTTGCTGATCATGCTAAACAGGCATATATACATGCATTTTCCTGACGACAGTGTGGAGCATCGGTTAGTAACCATCGGCATGTTTACAGTATCTTTCCTGATGTCATCGCCCAGTTTCACATCAGCAGAAATACCAGAATAAGATTGGAAGAAAAATCATGTTAGCCTTCATCGTCGCCTTATACTTTCTAGGGACGATCGCTGTTGCTGTCAACTGGGCATTTACACGCTACTGTTTCATCACACATGGGCAAAATTTTTGGACAGTTTTTTCGACGTTCAATAACATATCAACGGTGAAACAAAAGGCCTCAACATTTTTCCTGGTTGAGAGTGTGGCAACTGGGGTCACTGGTGGCCTTCAAAACGTCATAGCAGATCTCTGTGTGGTGTGTATCTCGCCGTTCGTTTTGTATCTGCCGTAATGACCTGATTATTCATTTAGATATGGCGCTGCTGGACAGTCTGGGGTTACCGTTGGCCCGTCGTCTTTGTCCCAATTCTTTGTACCATTGGTGCAGCTAGTAAGACCGCTCTTCTTCACCTTCGAAGACCCATTCCTAATCTCCTCTAGTCTCCAAAGGATTTCAGGAATATATTGAAATCACCGAGTTATTAAATGTCCACAACCCTGAAAACTTTAAACCGTCTTCTGTTGATTGGACCATGGCTTATATTTCATTAAGCTTAGCGGTGACTTTGATGTGTACGATTCTTATCGTATTACGAATTATCACTGTTGGGAGGGCGAATCGTAAAACGATATTCGGTAGTTACCGGGCAATCGTAGAGATTGTCATCGAATCAGCAGCTCTTCTCTCTATCATTCTGATCATCTACATGGTGACTTATGCACGAGGAGCATACGCGGCGATTTATGTAGATTCTATCGCGGCGAACATCAGAGTGAGGTTCAGGCATTTTTTAGTTATCTCGTTCTCATTACTATATGCAGGGAATTGCCCCGACTCTCATTGTCGGTCGTGTCGCTTCCGGGCATTCACGTCCTGATGAAACCTGGGAAGGAAGTGCAATCTCTTCCCTGCACTTTGGAACTCGCAACCACACACGAACACATATTAACACGCTATACAATGACCAGCGCAACACGACGGTTGCTCTTGAAGACAACTCTCCAGACGTAGATCCTCAGATTGACTCAGCGGAGGACCCTAAACCTGGAACGGAGATAGCATGATTCTGGAATAACGCCCCCCAATCCCTCTCGAATAGAAACAAAATATACACTAGACATCCACCGCGGTTCATAAATCATCTACTTCATAAATAACGTCATAGAATATCAGATCATGATCGAATGCCCAATCAACTCCACAGGATATTGAGCCGCCTCCATCCCTTAACAGGTTTTGGTGGAGGCTCAGGGTTCTCCTTCGCGATATCAATATACTTCCGGATCGGCATCTCATCCAACGACACCATCTTAGTCTTGGCCAAGAACTTGTAACCGAAGAAGAGTGTGAAGATGAGAGGGATGTTGAAGTATGCGGAGAAGAACGTTTCCGTGTCCCAATGGCCGTGAATAAAGACCTTGTATCCTCCCGTGAGGAGAATGATGGTGAAGGAGATGAGACCTGTCCAGGCAGCATACGGTTGGAACGGAGATTTCCACGGCAGCTCGTCGCGTGAGATATTCTGTTTCCTCATGCCATAATGGAACCTCAAATAGACTGCGCAGATGATCGACCCTGAATTGTAAATCAGATACGTCCGAGACCGGGTACAACATATCACTTACAATGCACCAAGATAGCGGAGGAACATAGATCCTGGTGAACGGACTAAGTTCGCCTAGTCCAAAGCGCTTTGAAAGAGCACATACCTGGAACCAAGAAAACACAGTCGAAGCATTGTCTGAAAGCGTCATGTACGCTAGACCCAGGAACGCCGACAAGAACAGAACCGCAACATATGGGACCCCAAATCGGTTAACCTGGAGGAAAATCTTGGGCGCGTGCCTCTCGCGCGCCATACCATAAAGATTCCTCGAGCCACCGAGCAACCCCGAATTGCCAGAAGACCATGCCGAGGTGAGAACGACAGCATTGATTATATGCGGCACCACCGAAATGCCCGCATTTGTCGCAGCAATGACGAATGGAGATTGAGAGGCAGTGCCAGAGCTGCGGAGGAGGTTGGAGTCGTTGGATGGGACGATAAGTGTGACGATAAAAATGGCAAGGACGTAGAAAATGAGGACACGCCAAAAGATGCGCTTGGCTGCAATGGGGATGTTCCGACGCGGGTTTTGGGTCTCAGCAGCAGCATTGGCGATGCCTTCGACTCCACCGTAGGCGTATGCAGCGTTGGAGAAGGTGGTCCAGAAACCGAGGAACCGGCCGAGGGAGCCTTCAATGTTGAGGTATTGAACGAAGGGACCCTAACCGAGGATAATGTTAGTATAGAATCAAGGAAGGGTACAAATGGAAGACATACAGGATTTCTCCAGTACTGGAACCCATATCTATGATGATTGGGACCTCCACCTTGAAAGCAAAGGATGATTAATTCAGAGAAAACATGGAAGGTGGCCCTGACATACCGAGATCAATGACCAGGCCCTAAAGCGCGTTTTAGTCGACGTTATCACCGCCTATGATGTTTGTACTCACCATGATAATTAAGCCTATGATAAGCATAACCTTGAGCATGGCAAACCCAAACTCGAGCTCTCCATACACCCTGACGAACATGAGATTGCTCACGACGAGCAGCAAACCCAAAATCGTGATCCACAATCCATTGCTGATGGTAGTCCAGTACTGTATAAGGACTGCACCGGCAGTGATTTCCGCCGGCAAACTAACACAGGACGAATAGACGCTGTTCCAACCTTGGGCGAAGGACAGAGCAGGATCGAAGAAATATTCAGCATGGCGGACGATGGAACCGGAAAGGGGAACCAAGGAGGCTAGTTCGGCTTGGGATATTATGACACATGAGACAAGGAAGCCGACAAAGGTGTACCCTGGGTTTGCGGTTGATAAGCCATTGCAGGACGAAGAATCATGGTTCTTACCCAGAAGTGCACCGACAGGACCACCGTTGTGGATAGCACGCCCCGAACCGAGGAAGAGACCCGTTCCTATCGTTCCGGCTAGGGCGATCATCCTGGTGCGTGGACACAGTAAGTACTTGAAACTTCAAACGAGACGCAGAGACACTGCTTACTGGATATGTCTCTGACCCAACCCGCGTCTACGGTGTCATTAGACGTCAAGCATCCACAGGGAAAAGAGGATAGCTCTCACCTGAGCTCCTTCTTTTCCTCAAAATCGATGATATCGGCATTGGAGTCGACGACATTGACGGAGACAACTTCGACGTCCTTCTCGTCGAAGGATTTCTCATGGTGTAGTGGAGAATGGGTCGACATAATTGTAGGGAACACAATGAGTCGAGAAAGAAAAGGACAAGCTTCTTAAAGCCCGCGATAAGTGCCGTCAATACATGTGGAACCATTAGAAATTTGATGCGACCAACCAAAGCTGGAGATCCGCATGTTGATACAGTTATCTTCTTTCGGAATGGAACCCATCCAGGAACCTATCTAATAGTACCGTAGATAGGCTATCAAAGAGCCGAATATGGCTTGGACCCCCATAGCACAAAGAGTATCTGCACCGAGATCGTTGTTAACAGTGGATGAGACTAAGAATATATCACAGCTGAACGTACCGAAGACGTGGAGACGCCATTCGTGCACTTGTTGCACACCAACAAAAACCATCGGATAGATAAGAACGGGCTATTAGGAGATGCTACAGCTGGGCATCAAATGCTACGGCTGGCATCAAATGCTCCAGGCGTGTCGATATCTAGTAAAGGCCAATGATGAAATCGTCGAACGGATACTTGGACTTAGTTAAACATTCTTTCCAAAAAAAAGGGTAGTCGTCTCACCTCCTCTTTTGACAGTTGGACTTAGTAAGGACAAAATAAATCATCGAACTGAATACTTGGACTTCGTAAGGACCAAATGAATCTGATGATGATAATGACAAAATCATCGAAATGATAGTAATGCTTGGTGACCGTGCGATAGACGGACTGCCGTCCGGCAAACTGGTTGTAGATAACAATCAACTTGGACCGCCAAGGCCAAACAACAGATAGGAGTTGTGCGTGTCAGGACTGAGCCTACGCAGACACACCGAAGGTGCAACGAACTGAGAGCACCCAGCTTGGCCCCCAAATATAGCTTCGAGGCCTGATATTCCATCGACATTCAACACCGATTTATCCCCTCCGCAGCTGACAGAGAATCATTCTGTAATAGGAGCGTGAACAACTAGCATGTCATCCTTCATATAGATACGCACCATCGCACGAATTGGTGATATCGGTCTGGTACGCTCTAGGGGTCACCGGCTTTCGGAGATTACCAGATCATGGCCCGCCATAAAATTGCCGTCTCGGATGCCGGTTAACCTTCACATATACTTCAGCATGGCGATGATAAGAGCACGAACGTTATCATACCGATGTTAGCAAAAGACACTCATTGTCCACTGATACCCGCGTCCCTTCGAGTGACCAGGAATAGACATACCACCGCCCCGACCACAGACAAGATGCTGGTGATGATGAGACAGAGGCTACCCCACTTCTTTTCCTTGGAGTGTGTTTCTATGTTGTGGTCGGAGATGAAGAGGAAGGGTAGGACATATCGGAGAGGATGAACAAGGACGAGGACGCCCAGAAGCCACAGCGGAGGACAGACTGAAGTAAGGATAGAACGAGATTGGATAAAAAGGGACGGGGAGAAAGGAAAGAGGGGCGAACCAAACCCGTAGAAAAAGAAATAACGCGCCGGAATTGGATCACTTTGATTTTGAACGACGACACGTTTGAGTCTAAAAGGAGGGGGGAACTGTGGCTCGCTGTTGGAAAAAGGAAGACTCGGAGTCGTCTAGATAAATTGTTTCAGCGGGCATACCATGGGTGTGATGGGACGTACTGTGGTCTGGCTACCGTTATACGTCGACGGTGGCGGTAATATCTGCAACGCTGCCTTAAGAACGCAATTCAGAGCTCATGGCGATTGACGCCTACCACGGCGCTCCCAGAAGGTATGTTTTCGCGGACTGAATAATCTTGTCTTTGGGTTTTTAGCTGGTAGTCTTCCCGAATAATCAACAGAGGGGGATGAGGGATCTATGGTTTGATCAATGTGCGTTTTTGCCTCAAGATAAAGTGAAGGCTCACCGTTTTGCTTTGGCTTCCGTAGCCTTTCCATTGGTCCTTATACCTGGGAGCTGGATACTCCATTGAAGAGAGTAAAAGGAAAGCGCCATTGGTAGTATTATAAAAGTCCTGTCTCACGGTGTCTGACATGACTACGCCAGGGAAGGAGGCTACTGAATTTGTAGTGCTGCGCGATCGACTGATTGCTTCGAATGGGACGGAAAGCTCGCCGAGCGATTGCGAGTACCACCTGATTTTCTACAGAGTGCTGTGTGCCCTTCAAAGTTTCGGTATGAGTAAATGTAAATACCTGAGGAGACTGAAGACGAGTGCCACTGACTGTGGATGGGAAGAGCGCGCTGTCGCCAAGGGTATGTGACAGAACTGTCGTAAGACCACGTGGAAACATGATGCGAGTCATGGTCCGTCAAGGTGAAGGAAAGATGATCCGGAGTACGTTACTAGGACGACAAATATCGCCAAGTGAATGGTAAAGCTGCTGCTAATTCAACAAGAATGACAGCCATGTGTCGCGTTGAGTGTTCCTTATGGTTGGCCAGACTCAGAAGAAATCATACCGAGGATAGTCATTCTAAGGTTGGCACTTTTGATATTCCCAGTGATTGTGATACCCATTTTCTATAGTAATAAGTACATTTGAGTAAATTAGGATGGGCATATGAGCAGTATATGCATGGATAATGACTGTCTCTGTTGGAATCTGCAAGAGAGTTCGAGCAATCCAGCATTCCAGCATGATGAGTAAGGAAGAAATCCAAGGGAAATTGAAGGAATTAGGTAGAAACTGCTAGAAAAGGAGTAGTCTAGTATAAATATGAGAAGTTAATGGGGAACTCCTCAGGAATTTGTAACCCAAAGACTAAAGGTCTTACAAGCATGTACTCTGGATACAGTCCAAATCTCAACAGTCTTCTCTATTCCTGATGACCCTCCTCTTCAAGATTTGGCAGAGACTCACTATGACCACCTTGAGGTGACTTCAGTATGCTGGCCATTGCCACTAGAAAAAATGGGAACCTTGGTGTTGGTGAGAGGCAAGGAGACAATGACATGGCAGTAATAAGAAAAGACAACTTTGTCCATATTTGTTCATCACCTCTTCACTCATCATTGATTTGATCATCCTCTATCTGTTAAGCCCAAGCATCATGTGGTCAGGAACACATGATAAACAGATGTTGCCTTGCACTTTGGGTGATTGTCTGAGTTCACTTAATGTGGATTCTGACTGGTGTGTCACAAGGCCATAGGATTAGCTTGAGGGTAAAATGGTATAGAGATAAAATTTAGGTCAAAGCTGGGGATTACCAGTGAGAGCAAGCTGTCTTAAATACTGTACAGTTCCTGCTAATAATACAACTGCCTATTGTATGTTTCTGAGCTCATTGTACTCATAGTCCTGGAGTGTTGTTATCATACACAAAAGGATGCTTGTGCATTGTCAGGCAACACTGTTGTGTCAAGGGACAATGACAGACTTGGCTAGTTGTAATGACCTAAGCCTTGTCTCATGGTCCTAAGCACTTGTCCTTAGCACTCTGACTAAGAATAAATAGGGGTTAATCATAGGGAATGAGGAAAAATCATAACACTATCAAGCTTGACTTGTATTCAGTTCATTGCAACTGCTTATTTCTGCAGAATGATTCCTCTACAATCCCAGTTTCATTTTCTGATTCAAGCCAGCTGACTGTCACCACTATGAATGCATTCAGAGAGGTAAAGTTTCCTGTAATTCTGCACCCTCAACCACTTAATATTATTTGAATAGGCTTGTCCTATCTGCCAGCACACACTGACTATGAATCTTGACAAATACAAATGCATTTTATGTGCCAATGACTTTTCAGTCCCTGATAATCTAGACTCATATATAAATGACAATCTCTATCCCCTGTCAGCTGTCTGTATTGAAATCAAGCAGTCTCTTGGATGCTCAACCAAAAATTCTCATGCTTTGAAGAATTGTTTGCTCATCAGCAGAATGCTATCTCACAGATTGCATTCATTCTAAAAAAATACAAAGAAGCATATGTGAAAACATGCTCTGAACAGCTCTGTATAAGAAATCATAGACCAACACAAATATGTGCTTTTATCTCCCATTTGTTCCTTGCCAGATGATCTCCTGGTACTATGCTCTGAAGGTCACTGAGACTCTGGTGAAGCTCAGGGTGCTGGTGGAGTCTCAGGTTGCACACTGCAAGAGTTTATGTGCTATTGGAGTGCATGCTTATCTATTCTTTTGTTTTTAAATTTTCTTGACTAGCTGCTTACCAAGCAGTCAGATATTCTTGGAATGGGTGAGTAAGCAGGTGAGCTGTTTGAATCTGCTTGAAGTCCTATCTGATGAGGAAGATCAGATTCTCAAGTGAATAGTTGCCCAGCACTTCACCTGAAGGTTGAGTTGACTCAGCTCACAAACAAAGTGCTGGGCAACCATTCACTTGAGAACCTGATCTTCCTCATCAGACAGGACTTTGAGTGGATCCAAACAGCTCACCTGCTTACTCACCCATTCCAAGAATATCTGACTGTTCATTCTTTTATTGGGGTTATTCACAGCAATCAGAAGCATCATGCTGCTCAAGCAGCTGCTGCCACATCTGTGCAGGCTCCTGCTGTTCCATTGCAAGCTCCTGGTATCCAGGTTATAGTGCTAGCCCTGGTTGTTGCTCTTCCAGCCCCTGCTCCAGCTGTTCTCAGTGTTGAGATTCCAATGGTCAAGGCAAATAGTCTCAGGCCCAAAACATCAAATGTTAGACCTAACTGGCATATGACTTGAACATGTGATAAACTAGCACTGTATCATGTTCATACAGTCATGCTAGAGTCCACTTAGTGTGTTCTAATAGGTGAAGTACTGTCAAGGCCAAAGACAGGCAAAGCTCAAGAGAAAATAGTATAAGATAAACTTATAGCTCAAAGCTGGACTACTATAGTAAGAGCTATCCTACTTATATACTGTCTAGCCATGATAAATATAACTACTTTTCTATTGTACTGTTCTGTACTATGCTGCTTATTCTGTCTGGTTGATGGGAAGTAGACAATGGAGAATTGTTCAGGGATGAAGCAACCAAGTACAATAGTGTGCATTGTTGTGATTATTTAATCTTCTCCATACTTGCAGGTAGATGCCCATGATAAGATAGACACCCTAATAAGATAAGAAAGAGATGATAAAATAAGGGAAAAAATCATAACATCACTCTCCCCTTAAGACCATCATTCTGATAGCTCAATTAAGAGTCAATTCATAGTTCCAGATGGTATTGTCTGTGTGCATGTCCCACTCATAGATCCACTGGTTTGATTCTGGTCTGTAACCCCTCTATTTCACTAAATAATAGGCAACTGTTTGGATACTCCCTCCTCATGCACAGATCTTTCAGAGCTTATAGTCCAGAATTTGTTCCACTTTTAAATAGTGTTTCTCTTCCTCAATTAAGTCAGGCTCAGATGGTGGTGACAGTTGTTGATTTGGGAATGCAGGCATGATATATGGTGTTAGGAGTATCTTATTGAAAACTGGGTGGATGCACTAGGAGGTCAGCAATTGTAGATGGCATGCAGAGGCCTCAACTTTTGCTACAATTAGAAAAGGGCCAGTGTGTTTGTCTGCCAGCTTATGTTTCAGGTGAGGAAGGTGAAGGTTGGTTGTGTCCAACCAAACTTTGTCATTGATAGAGTATTCATGTATGGAACAGCAATGTTTATCATATTGTGTTTTCATTGCAGTGGCAGCTCTTTTGAGGGTGGCACTTATTTTGGCATGAATAGAAGTCATGAGATTGGCAAAGTCAGAAGACACTGGAGTCATGACTTTGCATCAGGTCATGATTGTAACATGTGGGTGTCAGCTATGATTAATGAAGAAGGGAGTTTTGTTGGTTGCTGAGTGCATGCAGTTATTATGTTAAAATGCCACAAGAGCAAGCCATTCCATCCAGTCATCCTGCCTATGATTGATGAACATTTAGAGATATTTCTTGATCTCTTGATTAATGCATTCAGTTTGCCTATCTGTTTGTGGGTGATAGGTAGTTGATGTATTGCTTCAGATATTGAGTAAGTGGTAGAGATCATTAAGGAATTTGAACACAAATTATAGACTCCAGTCCAAGATGGCAACTTGAGGCATGCTGTGTTTTGCATAGACTTTATTGCATAAGATTTTGGCTCATTCCTTAGAGGATAATTCTATTAAGCATGCAATGGAAATGATTGCTTTTGAGAATTGATCAATAATGATGATAATGACATCATAATCATTACAGTCTGAGAGTCCAGTGATCATGTTGACTAAGATATGAGTCCATGATTCCATGAGGACTTCATTTGGGTGAAGTGGAGCAGCTTATGTCTGTGTGCTCATCTTGGTTCACTGGCAGGTTTCACATCACTTTATGCACTTCTTAACATCCTGCCTCATTTTTGGCTACTAGTACTCCTGTAGTACTAGTTTCTTTGTTTTCACTATTCCAGAGTGTCTGGCAGTGGCATGATCATGGAACATGGCAATGAGCTCCCCTTATAGTGTATAGTCTCAGGAAATGTAGATTTGATTGTTATAGTATATCAAATCTCCTAATTTAGTCATACCCTGCTTGTGATTGATAAAGAGAGCAATTCATTGGTCTCATAATTCTGTTTTTCATGTTGTGCTCTTAATTCATTCATGGATCTCTTCTTCTGTCAGCATGATCATGGTGTGAAAGTGTTTGGGTTTCAGGAGGGTTACTCTTTTGTTGTCCTTCTCTCTAGTCATGATTGGACCTGCAACTCAGCAAGTCCACTTTTTTGTTCACTGTCCCTACCTTATGATGTAGTGTGTATTGATATTGTGCAAGCTCAGTGACCCAGCAGACTTGTCAGCAATTGAGCTTCTGCAGTGATCAGAAATAGTGTAGGTTTTGATGATCAGTTCAGACTTCAAAGATGTGAATGGCACCAATCAGATAATACCTCTACTTGGTGAGTGTCAACATGATAGCCAAGAGTTTCTTATCATAGATCTTATAATTGTGTTTGGTGATGGTTAATGCCCTTGAGAGAAATGCAACACATCATCATTTTCCATCCTGTCCTCATGAGAGGACTGCACCTATCACTCCTTCACTCAAGTCAGTCTCAACTTGAAATTTCTCCTTGTTAAGCCCAAATCACACATGACTAGAACACATGATAAACTGATGCTGCTTCACATTTGGGCAGTCATGTCAGAGTCCACTGTATGTGTTTGTTTGTCAATGTGTTTCAAGGCCTTTGCAGTCAGCTCAAGAGAAGATGGTGAAGAATAAACTTTAGCTCAAAGCTGGAGATACTACAGTGAGAGCTATGCTACTTATATACCAGTTG